TTTTTTTTTTTTTTTTTTTTTCTCGGCTATCGAAAACTAGTGGACGCTAAACTCATAGCAGATATTGTCTGCTTTGGCCCAGTACGTATCGACGTCAGCCTCACGATTTTAAAATGTGTGTTAGGGAGAAGTTTCGACACTCTTCTAATAAATGTTTTGTTTCTCTCTCTAATCGATGTGAGATTTCACAATTCACCCATTTGGAGCCCATAATCCTAACCGGCTCACAGTCTAATGTCTAACTATGGTCTCTCAATGGATGTGGGAACTCACAATCCACTCTCTTGGGGCCTAGTGTCCTCAATGACACATCATCGGGTGTTTGGTTTTGATACCATTTGCAATAAGAATCACTCTTTAACTGATGTAAGATCTCACAATCTACTCATTTGGAGCCTAGTATCCTAATTGGCACACTGTCGTGGTATCTAACTATGGTCTCTCCAATCGATGTGGGAACTCACAATCCACCCCCATTAGGGCCCAGTGTCCTCGATGGCACACCATCCGTGTTTGGTTCTGATATCATTTGCAACAGGAATCACTCTTTAACTAATGTGAGATCTCACAATCCACTCATTTGAAGCCCAATATCCTAACTGACACACAATCTAGTGTCTGACTATGGTTTCTCAAATCGATGTGGGAACTCACTATCCACCCTCTTGCTGGCCAATGTCATCACTGGCACACCATCTAGTGTCTGGTTCTGATACCATTTTGCAACCGTGAATGATTCGTTCCACTCTTTAACTGATGTGAGATCTTACAATCCACTCTCTTGGACCTAATGTCCTTGCTGGCACACCGTCCTATATCTGACTTTGATATCATTTGTAACAGCCTCAACTCATAGTTAACAGATATTGTTTGTTTTGGCCCGTTACATATCGCTCAGCCTCACGATTAAAACGTGTAGGTTATGAGAGATTTTCACAATTCGGAAATACATCAACTAAAATTAAAACTAAATAAGTTCATCATAATTTAAAGAAAAAAATTTGAGGTTGACATCATAATTTAAAGCTAAAAAAAAGAAGAAAAAAGGTCAAAGAAAGGAACACCCTTTTTATTTGTTTCCTCTATTTATCTTCTTTCTCAGTCTCCCAATCAATTTCAATTGCCCATTATCCTCAATTGTTTCAATTTTTGTTGTTAATGGAGAACGAATTCTTCCTCAATGCTACTGAGATCCCTCAATCTCTTATGCATTTCGACTCCAATCCTTCCATGGCGACCTGGCACCACTCCTTTTCGTCCGCCATGGATGTTCAACCTCAACAACTTCAGCTTCATGTTCCTGAGTTCAATAATCACTGTTCTTCCTCTCATCCTTCGCCTCCGGATTGCTATCTCAATCCAGTTCCTCAACAGAGCTTCCAATTCGATTCCGCTCTGAGTTCCATGGTTTCTTCTCCAGCGCCCTCCAATTCCAACCCTACCAACGATAGCTTTGTGATCAGAGAACTGATCGGAAAATTAGGCGCAAATTCCGGGAGGAGAATCTCGGAATTGAACTCTTCTTCTTCTTCTTCCAGTGTGGCGGAGTTTTCGTCCGATCCTGGATTCGCTGAGCGTGCTGCTAGGTTTTCGTGTTTTGGAAGTAGGAGCTTCAATGGACGTCAGTTGACGAATGAATTCGGTAATTTCAGATCTAACCTCTCGATCGCGAACGAGAAATTGAGCCGAGTTTCGAGCAGTCCGTCGCTCAAAGCCCTCGGATCTGAAACGAAGTTGCAAGAACAGAAGAACAATTCCTCGTCGCAAGAAGACGAATCGTCTCTCTCGAATCCGGATAAGGCGATTTCGAATCCACGGAAGAGAAAGGCAATTTCGAAGGCGAAACTCAAAGAGCCGGTAAAATTCGAACATTATCTCCATATCTTCTACATCTTAAATTGAGAATCACTGGCTGAACATTAATTTTGTTTCGTTCTGTTTGGTTCCGCCATTGTTGCAGAATGCTGAAACTCCCGAGAAGGGAAGCCCGAAGAAAATCAAGGCAGTGGAAACGAAGGAAAACGTGAAAACAGAAGAGGATTCGAAGAAAACCGATGCAGATTTAGCCGAAGAGAAGCAACAAAAAACGAACACGAATCCTCCCGAGCCTCCAAAAGATTACATTCATGTCCGAGCAAGAAGAGGCCAAGCTACTGACAGCCATAGCCTCGCTGAAAGAGTGAGTGAACAAATTTGTTCGTTAGCTTTTGATTCTCATTCTCATTCTCATTCTCATTCTGAACTGAAGGTCAGAAGAGAGAAAATCAGTGAACGAATGAAGCTTCTTCAAGATCTTGTACCAGGTTGCAACAAGGTTGGTCAGAATTTCTTTCAAAAAGCTGCAATTAATTAAGAAACTCTCATGTCTTTTCCGTTACAGAATTTCCTTTCTGATCAATATAGGTTACTGGAAAAGCTCTAATGCTTGATGAGATTATCAACTATGTGCAGTCATTGCAACACCAAGTTGAGGTAATCAAATCAAAATTCTTTCGATCCATCAAAACGAAACTAAAAGTTTAGAGATCAAATTTTGTAACAATTCTTGAATTCTTGAATTGTTTTTCAGTTTCTATCCATGAAGTTAGCATCTGTGAATACAACCAGAGTGGATTTCAACATGGATTCTCTGATCTTAAAACAAGTAAAGTTCTCTTAAAAATGGCTGTTTCTTTCTTTACTCCTTTGTGAACTTCCATTTCCTCAAACTTTTTTTCTTTTTGTTGCTGAGACAGACGTACCAATCAGCCACCAGTTTGCCACATCCTATAGATTCCTCAGCTTCAAGCTATTATGGGCACCACCACCACCAAAAGCCCTCTCTCCCAGCCACCTCCATGGACCCTCTCGACTCTGTTTCATGTCAAAATCTTCCAATTCAACTCCCTCCTCTCAGTTCCTTTCCTCTAAATCCCTCTCAGGTGACTGACTCGTTACTATCGAATCGCTCGTAAAGATTAACGATAATCTTGCGGCTAAAACCCGACTAAAACTGTTCTCATTTTGATTTTTGACACAGTATCCAAACTTTGGGGAGGAGGATGAGCTTCTAAGCATTGTTCATATGGGATTCGTCCAGAATCAGGCCCAAGGCAAAAACTATGATTGCAATCTCACAGCTTCTTCAACATAGGTAATTATTGTAATAATAATAATAAGAATCATAATCATAATCATTTGAAAATGTTATAATTTATATATAATTTTGAAATGCATCGTTGCAGGCTCAGAAGACAAAATGAAAATTCAACTCTGATCTCTTCCCTCAACCCCATACACAAAGGCAGGCTGCTGTTGTAAATACAAGAGATTAATTTTCAAAATCCCATTTATCAATTTTATTATTAGCTCTAATTAAGGAGAGAGAGAAAATCAGTTTGTCCCCCCCCCCCCCNCCCCCCCCCCCCCCCCCCCTTTTTTTTTTTTTTTTTTTTAATTTTAATGGGTAATCTTTATTTTATGTTATTATTATTATTTTAAAAAATTCAAAATTTTCTGGGTCATTTTGTGTATCGGTGGTTCTTTTGGAGCTTACCCTTTGGAATAGAACACATATGATAGAGAAAGGTTGCCACACTTTTAAAAATAATGCTTTGTATCCCTTTCTAACCGATGTGGGATTTCATAATCCACTTCTTCCTAGAGTCCAACGTCCTTGTAAAACCCGTTTCCTTCCCCTAATCGATTTGGGATCTTATATTTTTTCATTTAATGAAAAAGAAAAAGAAAAGGAAAAATATTTTAGTTAAAAAATAGCAACATTAATAATAATAATAATTTGAGGGTTTTGAATGTTTGATATGGTTGGGGGTAATGTCAAATCAATTATTATTTGATTCTTTGTTACTTAATGTGGTAAACCAGCTGTAGTCTATCCTCCAAAAACTAATTATTATTTTCTTCACCATCATTTCTTTGTAAAAATTAATTACTATTATGTCAATTTAATATTAAGAAGCCTATAATTGGTGTGCAGATTAGTGGTAATATTTATTAATATTTTATGCCCAAAAAATAAAAAAAGATGCTTCAGATGTATTTATTTTTTGTGAGAGTAATGATGAGAAAATATAAAATTGTCAATGTGACAGTGTTGTCCCCATTACATAATTATAATTATAATTATGATTATAATTATAATATTACCCCAATAATGTTCTAATATGTCCAAACCCTCTCTCTTACCTACTAACTTATTATTATGATTATTATTATTATTATTCCTGTCCAATTTTATTAAACTTTATTTTTTATTTTTTGAAAAATATAAATTTATTGAATAAAAAGCAGAAAAAGAAAAAACCTTTATATCTTGTTTGATTTGATAGAGAGGAATTTCTTTATAAAATTCCAATCTTTTGGAAGGGTAGAAAAGTAATTCCCACCTTTATTCCTCATCTTTCGCAGGCCACCTTCTTAACCCTTTTTGGAAAATAAATATCTTATCCTTTACTTTTACTTAAATTATAAAATTCTTTATTGTTAGACGAACCCGACTCTCCACAATGGTATGATATTGTCCACTTTGAGCATAAGCTCTCATGGCTCTCACTTATAAACCCATGATCATTCCCTAAATTAGCCGATGTGGGACTTTCATCATCCAACACCTCCCCTCGAACAAAGCACGCCTCCCCTTAATCGAGGCTCGACTCCTTTGGAGTCTTAGTCATTTTTGACTGCCTTCGTACCTTCGAGGAGGCTTGACTCCTTTTGGAGTCCTTTGTTCGACATTTAAGGATTTGCCAATCTATTGGCACGGCCAAGTTTAGGGCATGGCTCTGATACCATGTTAGACGAACACGACTCTCCACAATGGTATGATATTGTCNAAACCCATGATCATTCCCTAAATTAGCCGATGTGGGACTTTCATCATCCAACACCTCCCCTCGAACAAAGCACGCCTCCCCTTAATCGAGGCTCGACTCCTTTGGAGTCTTAGTCATTTTTGACTGCCTTCGTACCTTCGAGGGGATCATTCCCTAAATTAGCCGATGTGGGACTTTCATCATCCAACACCTCCCCTCGAACAAAGCACGCCTCCCCTTAATCGAGGCTCGACTCCTTTGGAGTCTTAGTCATTTTTGACTGCCTTCGTACCTTCGAGGAGGCTTGACTCCTTTTGGAGTCCTTTGTTCGACATTTAAGGATTTGCCAATCTATTGGCACGGCCAAGTTTAGGGCATGGCTCTGATACCATGTTAGACGAACACGACATTTGCCAATCTATTGGCACGGCCAAGTTTAGGGCATGGCTCTGATACCATGTTAGACGAACACGACTCTCCACAATGGTATGATATTGTCCACTTTGAGCATAAGCTCTCATGGCTTTGCTTTGGGATTCCCAAAAGGCCTCATACCCATGGAGTTAGTATTCCTCACTTATAAACCCATGATCATTCCCTAAATTAGCCGATGTGGGACTTTCATCATCCAACATTTATATTTTAAATATTATAATTAAAATGTTATAGCTGGGTGTAAGCTCATTGTTATTGGGCGTCAAACGTTATATATTTGACCTAAATGTTAGACTTGCAACGTTATCGGTTGGTGCAATATTGAGCCAACCCAACTCTTCCACAGCAATATCGAGACACCAAGTGATATTATGTAGTTCCGTTCATAGGTGCATTCTTCAATTGTTTTTAAGTGTCGTGATTAGGTCAACTCTTCTATGATAGAAGATGACAATATGTTGTTGCGTTTGTGTGTCTTAGAGTGTTACTTCCACTCCTCATGATATCATTTGGACTCAGTGTGTGGTGCATGCTTAAGTAGGTTGGCTTGATGGTCTTTAGAAAATATGTGTTGCTTCACAAAGATCATATCATGATTATGGTTGGAGACTCTTTTTTTCTTTTTATTTTTTATTTTTTATTTGATTAGATTTTATCTGATTTGGAGAAAGAACCCGTGTTGCTCTATGAGATACTCTTAAAAGTCACGAGTAAGTGATGATCAAGACATGTAAGCCCATCGATCCACGCATTTGTTCACGTACCAATAGAAGATTTCATACTCATCGTTACAGGTGAAACTGTAGCATCATCACCTCATCGTTCATCTTGTTTGTCTTATAGATACACTTCAGTTTTCAACAACACAAATTCACTATTGATCCACTGATCCAAAATTTAATATCCGCGCACGTTATTAAATTCACATTTGATGTAAGAATTTAAAATTTTAATCTATTTATTCGAAATTACTAAATAGGAATAATAATTTCACACGGTTCAACTTGATGTGTTATAAGTAATGCAACATTATAACGTCAACGTTTTGGGTGAAACAACTATCTCTATTGTAATTATTAATTTTTATATCTATTATCATTATTTACAATCCATAATAATTATAATGCTTTTACTAATTAAAATAATAATAATATTCAATTCCCCGCCCCAAATTAAATATATTATTTAACAACGTAAAAATAAATTAAATCATTAGAGATGTTCACGAGGTGAAATCGATAATAATTTTTTTTATTTATTAATTTCTCATTTAATTTTGAGAAATAAGATAACGAGATGTGAAATGTCGTTAATTTAAATATTTTTATCATTTTTGTCAAAAATATAAATTATCGAACATATTTTATTTTATTTTTTAATTCATATTTTAAGAATTTTCAAAAAAAATTAAATGTTGGAATTTTTATAGTTTTTGTTTGTGTTTTAAAAATATATTAATAAATTACTAAAAAATAGTATTTTCATTCACCAACCAAATGCATTACTTCTTAGGCCCATTTATAGCGCTTTCATTGGGCCGCTTATCTAAGAGGGGAGGATAGAAAATTATTTGGTCCATTCATTTGAGCATACACGAACCACGAATCTTTATTGGGAACACGTGTTTGATAGATCTTACATTGGTTGGAGAGGGAAACGTAACATTCTTTTATAAGCGTGTGAAAACTTCTCCTTAGTAAACACGTTTTAAAAAAATCGTGAATCTGACTGTGATACGGGTCAAAGCAGACAACATTTGCTAGCAGTGAACGTGAGCTGTTACAAATAGTATTTGAGCTAGACACTGGATGTGATGGGCAACTGTTACAAATGATGTTAGAGTCAAACCGGACATGGTGGGTTTGAATTGTTATAAATAGTATTAAAGCCAAACACCGAGCGTGGTGGGTTTGGACTATTATAAATGGTATTAAAGCCAAACACTGACCGTGATGGGCTTGGACTTTTATAAATGGTATTAGAGCTAGACACGAGGTGTGATGGGCTTGGGCTGTTACAAATGGTATTAGAGCCAGACAATGGGCGTGATGGGCTTGAACTTTTACAAATGGTATTAGGCCAGACATAGGGTGTGATTGGTTTGGGTTGCTACAAATGGTATTAGAGCAAAACATAGGGTATGATAGGTTTGAGCTATTACAAATGATATTAAAGCTAAACACGGAGGCTTGATGAACTTGGGATGTTACAAATGGTATTAGAGCCAGACATGAGGCGTGATGGGTTTGAGTTGCTGCAAATGGTATTAGAGCCCGACATAGGGCGTCGTGGCTTTGGACTGTTACAAATGGTATTTGAGCCAGACATGGGGCGTGATGAGTTTGGCTGCTGCAAATGGTATTAGAGCCGGACATAGGGCGTGATGGGCTCGAGCTATTACAAATGGTATTAGAGCTAGACACGGGGCGTGATGGGTTTAGATTATTACAAATGGTATTAGAGCCAGACATCGGGGGTGATGGGCTTGGACTGTTACAAATGGTATTTGAGCCAGACACCGAACAGTGTGTCAGCGAGGACGTTAAGCCCCGAAAGTGATGGATTGTGAGATCCCACCTCGGTTAGAGAGGGGAACGAAACATTCCTTATAATAGTGTAGAACCCTCTCCCTAGTAGGTAGACACATTTTAAAACCGTGAGTCTGACGGCGATGTATAACGACGATGTAATTATTAGTTCATTAGTAGCATTGTCCAAGCCGAAGGGTTCTTAATCACACCAGCCATGACAATCAGACTCGGGATCTACAGCTCCATGGCGCCCATTTCTGGGGGATAAAAGGCTTCCAACCAATATGAAGCGACTTGAAAGAACCATTGGCCCAATTGACCCAATCTAAGGAAAGACAGATGTCGTGCTCTTGTAATGGGAAGAGGAGAGAAATATGGAGGCGTGGAGGATTCGAGCGGAGGCGAAGCGTCAGATTATCCAATCCAACGCATACAATGGCGCAAGTAGTGCGCGAAGGTCCACTTTCGAATTTCGGAACTGCACATGGCCTGCCTTCTCCGTTCCTCTCCTGCGTTCATCCATCAAAATTTTCACATTTCACCAACTGTAGAAGGTACAAACAAGAAAATCACCAAAAAAAATACCGAGTGTGTGTGTAATCTTCCACTCGTTGTTGCTATTTCTTGCGCACCTTCCGTTTCTGCATCCTCTGCTGAATTTTCTTCCATTTTCGTTTAGTGTTTTGCTTAGGACGATGAATAACTGATTCCCTTTGATTGAAGAAGAAAATTTGGGATCTAGGTCGTGTGATTTTGTTTGTTTTTTTCTTTTCTTGATTTCTGGGTTTCTTTATGTCTCGAACACCGAATTTTGAGTTCCAAGAATGGTGGAACAAGCAGAGAGAAAAGGAACACGACGAACTCCGACTGGAAAAGTCCGGCAACTTCCCGACCTCACCTGCATTTCTATCTCTTGAGATCCGGAGTTCTGGGAGTCCTGGAGATCGAACGGCCGATAAGGACCGGGCGAGAACGAGGAGTGCCCGCCAGATTTCTTGGGTTTGGCTGTTGAAATTCCAGCAGATTGCTGGTTCTTTGGCTTCAATCACCAATGGGTTCGTTCATCTTATCCGCACTGCCAATCGTCGGATTGCATCGCCTGATTCTCCAGCTGATTCGGCCTCGTCTCGGCTCTATAAGATAATCAAAGTGTTTTTGATTGTGGTGCTTCTGTTGCTCGTTTTTGAGCTTGTGGCGTACTTCAATGGCTGGCATTTCAAACCCCCTAACGTGAGTTCCGCTTCTGCGGAGGTGCTTGGAATGATAGGGTTTGTGTATGCTAGTTGGCTTGAGATTCGGGAAAATTACTTGGCTCCACCGCTGCAGAGCTTGATCAATTTGTGCATTGTGTTATTCCTGTTCCAGTCAGTGGATCGTTTGGTTTTAATGATGGGGTGTTTTTGGATAAAATTCTGGGGATTGAAGCCCGTGGCGGCGTTTGAGTACTCGGACACTGATGAGAATGCTCCCGAGGATTATCCAATGGTGTTGGTGCAGATTCCCATGTGCAATGAGAGGGAGGTAAGAAGATGTAGGTGTTCCTTCACCCCCCTTTCACTCCATTTTCTATTTTATTCTGCTTTCTAGTGAAGAGTCATACTCAAAGCAAGAGTCAAATGGATCTTTGAGTGGAGATTATAATTCTTCTCATCTCTATAGTATAGCAAACACTTGGAGGAGTATAAAATTTTTGTGGAGGAGGAAGAATTCTTGATAATGAGGACGTTAAAAGTGATACTCATTACTCAGTGTCCTCCATTCTCCCGCAGGATAGGTAGCTGCTGAGGGATAACCTGAATTTCAGGTAGCTAGGGAGGTGACTTTTTTTGTTTGGTGGGTCCAATCACTTGGTCTTTTCCTAGGTTCCCTCCAATTTTCATTATAGATCCTATTATTTTGGTGGTGGATATGCCTACGACCCAATGACATGGAGAGTGTGAGATCCCACATTGGTTGGGTAAGAGAACGAAATATTCTTTATAAGGGTGTGGAAACCTCTCCTTAGTAGATGCGTTTTGAAAACCTTGAGGGGAAGTCAAAATAGGGAAAGCCAAAGAGGACAACATCTGCTAGCGGTGGGCATTGGACTCTTACAAATGGTATAAGAGCCAGACACCGGGCGGTATGCTAGCAAAAAGGTTGAGCCCCAAAGGGTGGTGGACACGAGGCGATGTGCCAGCAAGGACGCTTGGCCTTGAAGGGGAGTGGATTTGGGGGGTCTCACATCGATTGGAAAAGGGAACGAGTGTCAGCGAGGACACTAGGTCTCGGAAGGGATGGATTGTGAGATCCCACATCTGTTGGGGAGGAAAACGAAACATTCTTTATAAGGGTGTGAAAACCTCTCCCTAGTAGACGTGTTTTAAAAACCTTGAAGGGAAGCTCGAAAAGAAAAGTCCAGAAAGGTAATATCTGCCAGCGGTGGGCTTTAGTGGTTACATGTGAGATCTCAAAAATGATAAGAAATGTTCTTTGTACTTGTCATCTATTATGCTATTTTTTGGTATAAAATGTTTAATCTCTTTGATTTATACACTTATGCTTCTCTCTTAACCAGTTTGGAAAGCTTTTTGTAATCACTATGATTTGTTCATCATTTTAGTAAACTTCATACATGAATGAAATTTGTTTTTAAGATTTTTTTTTTTCTTTTTTTTTGAAGTTTCTTTTATTCTTTTATATGAGCTCTTAAACAAGTTCCATACTTGCGCTCATTGGTTGGTGGACAGGTCTACCAGCAATCTATTGCAGCTGTTTGTATCCAGGACTGGCCAAAGGATAGAATACTTGTTCAGGTTTTAGATGATTCTGATGAACTAGATGTTCAACAACTTATCAATGCTGAAGTACAAAAATGGCAACAAAGAGGTGTCCACATATTGTATAGACACCGCCTCATGCGTACAGGCTACAAGGCAGGGAATCTCAAATCTGCTATGGGGTGTGATTATGTAAAAGATTACGAGTTTGTGGCGATCTTTGATGCAGATTTTCAGCCAGGACCAGACTTTTTAAAGAAAACCATTCCACATTTCAAGGTAATTGAATTGAATACTCTGTATAAGTGTAACAACACAAGCCTACCGCTAGCAGATATTGTCATCTTTGGGCTGTTACTAATGGTATTAGAGCCGGACACTGGGTGGTGTGCCAGTGGTTGGGTGGATTGTGTGATCTCACATCGGTTGGGTGGATTGTGAGATCTCACATCGGTTGGGGGAGGAGAATGAAATATTCTTTATAAGGGTGTGGAAACCTCTCTTTAGTAGACACATTTTAAAAACTTTGAGGGGAAGCTTGTAAGGGAAAACCCAAAAAAGATAATATATGCTAGCGGTGGGCTTGAGCTGTTACAATAAGCCGCAAGATGCATATTATTGTCAGTATTACTTTGTTTGATGTAGAGAAAAGTCTTAGAATTCATTATAAATTTTTACACCTCATATGCAACGGGCCAAAGTATGGAAAACCAAAGAATTATGAAAAGAAAACTTTATTAGAGATAAGTCCAGAGTTGAGCTATTTGCAAGGCCACTGCTAGCAGTTATTGTCTGCTTTGGCACGTTACGTATCGCCGTCAGTTTCACAGTTTTAAAATGCGTCTGTTAGGGAGAGGTTTCCAAACCCTTATAAGGAATGCTTTGTTCCCTTCTCCAACCAACCAACGTGGGATCTCACAATCCTGTTTTTCAATTTTATTGCATCTTTGTGGTGCCTTGGTTGAAGTTCAAAGTTGATTTAGTTTCCTAAATAATCAGGATTCTCAAACTTAATGGGCCAGGCCTTAATTAGATAAATTAGGTTCTAGACATCAAGTTATTCAATTTTAGTGGAACTCCCTGTTGTTCCCTCCCCTCCCCACCCCAGTTTTAGGAGCTTTCTTTTTTTCAGTTCTCTCCTACTAAATGGTGACTTCAAATCATATATTCTTGATTTGTTTTTTCCTTTTCTAACTACATGATTTCTATCAAGGAATCTGTGGCATTCAGTCATCTTCTCTTTATTTTTCATAAGCTTGGAAGATCCCCAGGATACAATAATAAAGTGTTTACGTTTTTCATTAGGGGAATGATGAACTTGCATTGGTCCAGACAAGGTGGTCATTTGTGAACAAGGACGAAAATTTGCTCACAAGATTGCAGAACATAAATTTATCCTTCCATTTTGAGGTTGAGCAGCAAGTAAATGGCATGTTTATCAACTTTTTTGGTTTCAATGGAACTGCTGGAGTCTGGAGAATTAAAGCTCTGGAAGAATGTGGAGGCTGGTTAGAAAGAACAACTGTTGAGGACATGGATATTGCAGTTCGTGCCCATCTTTGTGGCTGGAAGTTCATATTTCTTAATGATGTGAAGGTGTGTGATCCTATTTAGCATTGGAAGTTCGCTGTGATATTGTTAGTCGCAATATTTTCTAACTCTTAAAGTTTTCAGTGCCTTTGTGAACTTCCGGAATCATTTGAAGCGTACAAGAAACAACAACACCGATGGCATTCAGGCCCAATGCAGCTATTTCGTTTGTGCTTCGCTGATATACTCAAATCGAAGGTATGGAACTTATTTGTTATTAGTTTCGAATGCAAAATGTTTTTTTCCTTCTTAAAGATTGTATGTTTGTTGACACTCATGTTATCATTGAGATTTGTGTCTGCCATTTTATGACTGTTGCCACCACCGTCGTCTGTAGTTGTCATTACTCCCGGTTTTTCGCTGCCATTGTCAATTTTGTCCATTTTTTTCATAATTTGTTGTCATCGCCTAGCTCAATCGGAATTGCAGCCGCTGAAAAGCAAAACCTCAAAATTTGATCCCCATTTGACTCACTTTTTATGAGATTCCACGCCAGCTGAGGAGGAGAACGAAGCATTCTTTATAAGGGTGTGGAAACCTCTCCCTAGCTGATGCATTTTGAAAACTTTGAGGGAAAACCCGAAAGGGAAAACCCAAAGAGGATAATATCTGCTAGCGGTGGGCTTGGACTGCTACAAATGGTATCAGAGAAAGACACTGGATAGTGTGCCAATGAAGACGCTGAATCTCAAAGGGGGTGGATTATGAGATTCCACGTCGGTTGAAGAGGGGAACAAACCATTTTTTATAAGAGTGTGGGAACCAATCCCTATCAGACGTGTTTTAAAAACCTTGATAGGAAGCCCAAAAGGAAAAGCCCAAAGAGGACAATATTTGTTAGCATTGGGCTTAGGCTGTTACACTTTCTGTCCCGACCTTCTGTAAATTGTTGTAGGTGTCAACGTGTGTAGGCTTGTAAGCCACCATTTTTTCCTCGGTTTCATGTATTGTATTCACCAACTAATTTTCCGTTTGTGATTTTGCTTTTGGCCCTAGAGTGTTCCAATTGTGGGTTTATGAAAGGAAACTTGTTTGGGAAGATGAGGGTTTTCTCCAACATTCATTTTCTTCTGTTTAGATTTTAATTTTTTTTTTTAATTTTTTTTAATTTTTTTTTAATTTTTTTTTGAGGGTGTGGTTGAGAAAAATGTAGTAGTGATGTCAAAGATGATTCTCATGGTATTAAAAATTGTTGAACATAAGCTCAATTCATCTAACTTTTATTCATGATGAACAAACATTTGTCGTGATTTTGTCATGGATGATCACCTGACTTCAGAATTATCATCGACAGATGAGACTAAAAAGGCTTAGTTACAAGACGATTCTAGGATTATTCTACGGATAAAGAATTCCAATGTGAGCGAGATAGTTGAGTTAGTTAATCATTGTGAATATGTAAGAGCTATTGGAATACTTAGTAGGGTGCAAGAATCTAGAGGTCTCTACATCTTTGAACCACAAATATCGAGAGTTGTTGCATGCTCTTAAAGTTCCTTCGAAGCACATTTTCATTTGGCTCATACGTCTATTTAGTTTAATTATTTGTCTTCTTTAAATTGAGTCTGAGGTTACTTAATATTGCTTTCTGGAAACTAAATGGTTCGTTGTGATGAGTTTTTTTAATCTGAGTTTAATAACATATGGGAGAGTAGGGAATTCTGTCTTTTGACCGCTTGGTGGAAATCATACGTTCTAATCAATATCAATTGAGTTATACACATGTTGACTGATGTGATGATTTGTTGTCATGGATTTGCTCGTAATCATGAGCATGGAGATATGGGCTGTCTCACTTCATTAATATAGTCATCGACATGCAGGTTGATAGGAACCAGATCATATAACAAGACTTGGAAATATATTGAAATATCAATGAGAAAATGGAGGTACTTAGACCCTCTTCGAGAACATCCTACCTTTTCCGAAAGCCCCTCTGTTTATAACAAACTTCTATTAGACTACCATGAGAATTATTTTATTACACAGGCAATTAAGTTCTAACACTTGTCAACATCGATAACCATAAACACATATCGCTTTTTAACATATGGTTCTACTTTTCTACTCTTATAGTGATAAAAGGTCTTCATTTTTTTCTAATAAGAATCTCTTGCTATCTTTGGAGTCTTCTGTTGCAGGAATCTTAGATTCCCAATCGGATATTTAGATTCATATGTTTGTTTTGTAGGAAAATAGGACGTTAGTGTGAGATTCCACCTCGATCGGAAAGAGGAATGAAGCATCCCTTAAAAGGGTGTGGAAACCTCTCCCTAACAGATGCGTTATAAAACCTTGAGGGAAAGCTTAAAGAGGACAACATCCGCTAGTGGTGGGCTTGAGTTGTTACAAATGGTATCAAAACTAGTTATCAAGTGGTGTGCTGGTGAGGAAGCTAAGCCCCCCAAGGGGGATGGATTATGAGACCCCACATCAGTTAGAGAGGAGAACCAAACATTCCTGATAAGGGTGTAGAAACCTCTCCCTAACAAACACGTTATAAAACCTTGAGAAGGAAAAATCCAAAAAGGACAATATCAAATAACAGTGGCCAGACTGTTACATTTAGATATTTCGAGGCAGCTAGCCATTCTAGGTCCCCACATCTAGGAGGTATCTAATGGGTTTTCACCTATGAGGTATGGAGCATTTTAAACATTTTTGTTGCTCATCATGTTTATGTTCTTTCATTCGTCAATTCTCTCATTTTTTAATTTCATAGTTCAAAATGTCCCATTAAATTGAATGCTCTTTTTCTTTTGAGTTCAATAATATGTGGGGTAGAAGATTCAACTTCTCACCTCTTAGTCAGAAGTATATGTCTGAACCAATTATACCATATTCAGGTTCGAAAATATATAGTTTATTAGTCCATAACCATTTGTATGCAAGTTTCAAATACTTAGTTTGATGCTTGCTATTTGCTAACACGTGATTTTGTGTTTCAGGTAAGTTGGAAGAAGAAAGCTAATTTGATCTTTCTTTTCTTCCTTTTGCGAAAGCTTATCCTTCCCTTTTACTCATTTACCTTGTTCTGCATAATTCTACCCCTTACCATGTTCCTTCCAGAGGCTCATCTACCAGCTTGGGTTGTTTGCTATGTTCCCGGAATGATGTCCATCTTAAACATTCTCCCTTCACCACAGTCGTTTCCTTTTATAGTCCCCTATCTTCTCTTTGAAAACACCATGTCTGTTACCAAATTCAATGCCATGATATTGGGATTATTCCGCTTTAAAAGTTCGTACAAATGGATAGTAACAAAAAAACTAGGAAGATCATCCGAAAACGATCTTGTTGCTTTTGAAAAAGAACAAGAATTTTTGGTTGAAGGTTCTACTAGTCTTCATCGGTCATCCTCGGAATCAGGTCTTCTAGACCTAACCAAGCTCGAGATATCGAAAAAAACAGGGAAATGCAAAAGAAATCGTCTGTACAGGAAGGAATTGGCTCTTGCATTCATTTTGTTAACAGCCTCCGTCAGAAGTTTGTTATCTGCACAAGGAATTCACTTCTACTTCCTATTATTTCAAGGTATCACTTTGCTAGTGGTGGGTCTCGATTTAATTGGAGAGCAGGTGAGCTAAACTATGTTACAATTTTGAAGTTAGTCCTAAAGGAAATAACCCCAGATGCATATGGGTTACTCACTAGTCATCTTTGTCCTATAAAATCTTGTTCACTTTCGATCGATCACTTCTTGCTCGTGTATTGAGATCTATTTGCTTCCGATTGCGGACTGCTATGTTAAGGTTGATCATTCAAGTTGGGCAGAGGATGTGAGATGTTAAAATTATAGGGGAAAAGAAATGGAGCATTTATATTTCCAGGTGCCAAGAATAGGAAATTCTGAGATTTTTGGAACCTTCATTCTTTATTTTTGTCAAACTGATGATTTCTGTACCATGAAACATAATATATATCTCATTGTATGTGTTGAAATTCATTGATGTTCTAAGACTTGAATTCTATTTAAATCAGTAGCAGGCTTGTCATTGCCCTCATGTTCTTACTGGATGTTCATAATATTAGCTTTTTATTATGAACTTCATTGTATCAAAGGATAAAGATACCAATGACTACATCAATTTACAGGTTCCACAGAGCCCGCCATTTTGCAAAGCTTCTTCGAATAGAAAGGCATTGGTAAGAGAGTCCTAGTTTGAAAAGAGAGTGAGTTGGGCAACTTAATTATATAATCAAATGCTTATAATCTCACTTTGAAACCAGAAGGAACCATCAACTGATTTAAGTTCAAAACTCAAAACCTCAAGTTATAAACGAGTGAGTGAGATACAAAGAAAACCACTCCAGTTCCCTCGAACCACCAAACTGAAAATCAAACTCCCAGGCCTAACGTTTCTGCTTACTCCTGGGGATTATAGACTGATTCTTCTCACTTATTCATTTTGGCAAACATGTTGCCGTAAAACTTGGCATCCTTCTTGTTGTATTCCTTCACCTTCTCCTTTAGAGTTTTGTACTCCAATTTCACATCCCTGAAGGTATCAACATCAACTGTTTAGAACCAACAAGCAATCTTGGTATTGAGCATTTGGAGAGGAGGAAAGGTACATGCCTGTTATTTGGATCGATTTCAAGAGCTTTCTTGATGTCAACTTCGGCCAAATCCAAATCAGCTAGTTGGATATATGCTTGAGCCCTTCTATAAAGAGCTTTAACATTTGAACTTTCGAGTTCCAGAACCTACAATTGTAGTGATGTTACAGTTTCATCAAGTGGTTGTTTGATAGAAATACGCCAAAAGCAGCAGCAGGCTTGGTCGCTTCTATATATATCTCAATCTCACTCACCTTGGTGCACAATTTCTCTGCCTCCTTGTACAGCTTTAGCTTCAATTTACAAGCTGCATCGTTCAAATTGCATGCAACTTTCAATGCCTTAGCCTGTTTTTTCTCTTCTTCGCTAAAGGAAGAATCGTGTTCAATGAACTTCACAGCCTGTCCAAAAAAGCAAGACCAAGTAAACAAGTTCACATCAGTTTTCATTCCATCCAGAAACTAACAAGAATAAATATCATGTTCTTTTTACATAAATTGTGTAGAGCAACAAAAGGAGAGATGAACAAAGCTAAGAGTCTATTCCGAAGTCAAAACGATTGTTTTTTTATCTTGTAAGAGGGGAAAAAGACAGTTTACACAGAATTCCAAATTATTGCTTACGACCATAACTGTGCACACTAACCTAAAAAAAACAATTCAAACCCCCAACCAAATCAGAAGCAAAATAAATAACTTGGGTGGTTTTATCTCCTCGAGGACAAATCCTGAAATAGAAATAACCTTATGGATACCAACTAGCAAAGTACTCCAGTCCATCATATATCAACAAAAGTTTGAAAATAAATTAGAAAGTAAACTATAAAAGTGAATAAATTTCTAGATATAAGGTGTCTAAGAAGAAATTTATTGCGAATGCAGATTAGTATTTGAGATTGCAAGCAGAATAATCACCTTCTCATATCTCTTGGAGGCTCTAGCAAATTTTCCAGCCTTAAACAACACATTTCCTTCTTCCTTCTTTTTACCAGCAGCTTCAATCTTTTCCTGGTTATTCATATCCCATGATTCCTTCTCCTGAAAAAAGGAGAATAATGATATGATAATTATAAGACGTGAAAATGAATGTGAAAGTTGAGTTCCCATGTTTGCACAACAAAGTACAAACCTTGTCAAAAGCCACTAGTTCAACTTCGTAATACACAGTCGAGTTCGGAGGAACTACAGCTAACTCCTGTTTTGACTCAGATGAACCAAAAGCATACTCAGGTGCTATAGTCAGCAGGGCTTTCTCACCTTTCTTCATTGTTGCCACAGCTTTGTCGAGGCCATCAATCACTTGTTCTATATTATGCAGAAGTACAAATGTTTAGTAAGCGAGCATCAAACAAAAAAGTATACAATATCATAGAATAAACATACCTTCATCTGTTTTAAACTCAAATGGCTCTTCACCATCACCATATCCTTTCTTCAAAAATATCTTGCCATCTCCCAACTTCCCGACCAATTTCACTGCAATTCCATTGTTGAGTTAGAATTCTGAACTGAAACAATGTAACATACATAGGCCACTGATTCGCTAGAAACTGACCTTTGACGACAGTACCATCGTTTGGCTTCTCATACCCTTCTCCTTCTTTCAGAATTTTCTTGATAACCTTCTTGTCAGGAGTAACTTCTGAAACAGTCTTCCAAGATACCAACTCTAGTGTAATATCGAGAGATGCATTTGGCGGAACTGCACCTTCATTGCTAGAGGCTGGTTTACCCTTCTCCCCAAACCCATCTACAACAATAAACAAAATAATGTAAGGGAAGTTTTGAATCAATCTTGAGGAAAATCTGTTGAAGAGACATACATTGTGGTTTCACCGTGAGGAGTGCCTTTTCACCTAGCTTCATGGTTTTTACAGCCTTTGCAAGAGCAGGGCAAAAGTAACCTGTTGAGAGGTACGGTTTACTTGAGATGCACATATAACCAATGTCTGACGAGAACATCTTTTCCGAATAGTAGTTAATAAAAAATCCCAATCAAAGTCAAATTAACACAAGTACCATCCCCAACGGTGAATTCCACTCCATCTGCTTTTGCAACAAGTGTTCCATCTTCCAGCTTAGCTTCAAAATTAACTGCAGTAACATGAAATTAAAATCAACCGCTAAAAAACAAAGAAGATTCGCACAATAAATAATATACAGAAAATTTTAACATATGCACTTGCCTAGCACTTCATCAAGGTCTTTTGGATTTTCCCATTTCTGTCCTTCAGTTAGGATCTTCTTGAATATTCCTCCATCCTTGCATATGTCCTTGACGCTTGTCCAAGATAGTAGCTCAACATCAAACTGCAATGTAGCACTAGGAGGAATGGTTGGTGGGGATCCAGATTCACCGTATGCCAAGTCAGGAGGAATGGTAAAAAGAGCTTTTTCACTCTTCTTCATTGTTTTGATACCCAGATCCCATCCTTTAATCACTTGTCCTGGCACCATGAAGAATATAAAAAAGTTGAAGATATTGAAATGAACACTCAAGAATGAAAGCACCTTGCCAAAAAAGAACCAAGGAAACTACCTAAGCGAGGCATGCTTGTATACGGCCTCAAAGAAAAATCAAATAAAGAAAATAGAATCCCATCGTAATGGAAGCATCATAATATGCAATGCATCTCAAAGCGCAGATTTTCAAGAGTTTACTGAGAAAGAGCAGCAACAGAAGTTCCTCAATATAGGCAATAGGAATCCCCAGAAATATTGAGAAAATGGATGTAGAGTTGCATTAACAGAAAAGGAGGAGGTCAAAATACATGGCTTCCCTTTAAGGCCTTGTTCTTAATCAGAACTACTTCAGCAGTTGAACTTCAGATATCTAAAATTAAGGAGAGTTTTTTTTTTTTTTTTTCAAGACACATTGTTCTAAACAAACAATGTGGGATTTCACATTCTGTCACAAATGATTGCTATAAAACATCAATTTACTTTGTAGCTTTCAACCGATAAACCCAATCCAACCTTATTGAATTGAACATTGCTCCCTCCCCACCGACACACATGACACCAGTTGTTTATAAACCATTGCACAGCATTTAAAATCTTTCAACAGAGAAATGTGCATTACAAACTTTACCAACATGAAAACAAAAGGCTCCAATGTACTCCAATTGCCATTATAATTGGCTCGATTGCCAAATACTAACAAATAAAAGAAACATAACAATCAAATATTCAATCCAAAAAAAAAAAAAAAAAAAAAAAAATCCCCCAACCTTGGCCAAGAGTGAACTTGAACGGAGTTCCACGATCGCGGCTCGAATCAAACTGAGTCCCATCAAGCAAAGTCCCAGTATAGTGAACTACGTTACAAACAACCAGAACAACCCAAAATCTCAGAATAATAATAATAAAAAAAAAACAGAAAAATAAATAAAAGCCATTACGAAAATCCAATTTCTGTAGAAGCTCGTAGCGAGGCACATACCTTCAACCTCATCGCCATTTTCAGGAGTGACCCATCCTTCACCTTCCTTCAAAAGCTTCTTCTTCAACCCCTGATTTCCAATTTCTTTCTCCTCCCCAACCTTGAGAGCAACGGTTTCATCAGGAAAATCCAAGTCGTCATTCATGTCAGCCGCCGCAGGGATATCAAAATCCTCATCCATGTGGGATCAATTAAAAACAGAGAACAGAGGGAAGGATCAAAAGGACTCGAAAGAAGGAAGAAATGGAGGACTGCGCTCAGATCAGCGGAGGGATGACACTCGGGTAGTTTGGAGAAACGAGGATTAGGGGGAAGAAAAGGTGGGTTCTAGAGAGTTCTACGAAGAGAATATGCGAGGGTTTTTGGAGATTTAAATTGGATTGAAGGACGCTTCAAAAAGAAAGGGGGAAAAATTATAAATATGAAAAAGTTAGGGACTGTATAACAAATGGTATGGCGAAGATGGTTCTAGATTTCATGAATTTATAAATTAGGTTAAAATTATAATTAAATAAGAAAAAAAAAAGTAAAATACATGTTGCTTTGTCTTGTAATGTAATGAATCCGATAAATGATGTTACTCGTATTACCAACGTTACCGATTTAAATAAAATATTACATTCTAATATATTATTTGTCGAAAATTATTTCATTATATAAATAAAATTGTTGAGTTAGAAAATTTATAAGAGAGTACTTTCGCCTGATTTATTATTAATAAATAGATACATTAAGTCATATTTTATTTTGATATAATATAATTTAAATAATATATTACATTCTAATATATTATTGGTAGAATAGTATCTATAAATAAGATTACTTAAATAATATGTAGAACCGTTCCTATAAATAAAATATTAGAATCTAATATATTAGATAGAAACGTTCCTATAAATAAGACTATTGAATACGTTCCTATAAATAAGACCATTGAATTTACCAAAAGACATCTCAAACTTTCATTTTCCGAGAAGTCATAGCAAGAAACATTTTGTAGAAGACCTTCCACTTTTTAGAATACACCAAAGAAACAATAAGAAATTCACTATTTATATTAGAAATTGAGTATGTCATTTGCATGGCGACGAAAACCTTTTAGGAGATTAGGTGCTCATAATGTAATAGGAGAATTTGCTCGTACCAACAAACATGTTGGCATAACATGTAATACGGGGCCGTAAAAAATGGGACACGTGATGATAAGTGGTATATCGTTGTTCTTCGTTAATTCTAAGAATTAAAAATAAATATCATAAATTAGCATCTCATCAAAATTAAATGAGAGGCAAATAAATGGAAAGGCTCATACTCTGAAGTAGCTACAAGAAAAGTAGAAAGTGAAAAGAGTATGAAAAAATGGAAGAAACTAAAGTTGGAGAAGATCGATAAGCATCTCAACCGAAGGGGCTCCAATGGTAGAATAGTTGGTTTGACTTATAGATCATCACTCTCTTCGCTGACTTAGTTTCCACCGCTTGATGGTTTCCCATTAATAGCAACAAGCTCAGTGTCAAATACAAGTGTTACACCACCTGTATATTCAAAATCCAACAAGGGAACAACACAAAACTCCACAATACTTCAGCCGTGATTAAATTCAAATCATGTAAATAATTAGTCCTTATAGTTGCTTCTTTTCAGAACACTTATAACTAATGTCAAGGATTAAATGCAAATGTTTCTAAAAGTCCGTGGATTTCATCTTGTCGACGTTGTTTTTTAATAGGAAGACCGAGAGCTAACGATTGAGACTTAGGACTATCTGGATGCATACTTCGTGAAATGGTTCATGCATGCTGGGCAACAAGATCGAGTTGATAAGGATTCAAATATCTCTTTCTATTCATTTCTATGACCATAGAGGGACCCTTTTACCATTCTGTATAAATCGACTATTCTATTTGTACTTATCTGGTATAGGAGTGCATTCAATCTTTGTTTGTTTGTTTGTTTGGGAACACCTTCTTACTAGTACGGTAAAAGCTTGATGCAAATAGACCAAAAAAAAAAAGAGTTCTTCGTAGTCTATCTTGTTTAATTGGGTTTTTTTTGGATTACCTGATATGGTTGGTGGAACGCCTTGCGGTCCATATCCTAACTTTGAAGGAATTGTCAATTTCCGTTTCTCACCAACGCACATTCCTAGTAATCCTTGGTCCCATCCTGAAAATGAAGGAATTTTCAACTCTCAGTAACTTCCCACGCACAACATCAAAATGAGTATCACAGAGCAATTAGCAAAGTTTGTTCAGTACAGATCTTTGCGTAATGACCATTTTATTGGATCTTTTGAGCTTAGTATACAATTTTGTATACTTGAGTTCACAGATCAAAGGTCATGAACAATTTGAACGAGTGAAGGAACAAATTACGCAAAAACGAGGGAGCGTACAGCAATTTGTTAAGTTCAAGCAACATTAACAGATGAGCGGATTTTAAACCAACATCAGTTCCAAGGTATATCCTAATTATAGATAATGAGAATAATAAACCAATTAACTAATATGGTGCAACTCATAAGAGATCTATCACAAAAGATGAATTGTTACTTAACCACAGCTGAGCTCGAACACATAGAGTCAACAAGATGGTGAACAATATGGAAACATTCAAACTACAAAAATAAAAATAGTAACAACAATAAATAAACTATCTTTTGGCTGCACCAGAAATTTTTCTACCAATTACTAGATGTATGTGTTTTGTGCACAAATACCTTTAATTACTTTACCAGCGCCAAGCTCAAACTCAAATGGGACACCCCTTTCAAAACTAGAGTCAAAAACAGTCCCATCTGCGAACATCCCCTATTGAATCATAGGATAACAGATATCAGTCAAGAAGATGTGCGAAGCTGAAAGAAAAATCTTAACTATAAATGAATCGACTGTGTTATATCAGTGGAAATCATCAATCTATCATGTTTGTATCAGCAGCAACTGCGTAACGATTCAAATTCAGGATCATTCCTTCAGATATACTGAATGATAAAGTTCTCAGACAAATTCAAATTCTGGTGTAACCCAGTTAGTTAGTTAGTTTTATTTGTGAACATTACAACATCCGTCATGAAATCAAGAATGCCCTTTTTCTAGCAGAGGCAGTGCCTTATCTTCCCAGCTCTGACATCTCCCCAGTTCTTCCTTTATAATTCATTGACTAATTAACAAATTGACTGTTTGTTTTATGCGCACACACAAAAGCAAGAGTCGAACTAAAATATTATTCAACTTACACGATAATGAACTTTGATTTTATCTCCTTTTTGAGTTTGAATATCACAAGATGATGGCCTACGCTGCAAAAGAAGAAACAAAGAGAAAAGAAAAAAATCATCAAAACAAAGAATTAGCAAGAAAAAGCTTGGGGAGTGGTCCAGAGTATCATATTCCAGAATCTAAAGGCTGGAAGTGCAATATCAAACATTCATTGGAACTGTGAAAAGCTAGGGAAAAAAACGCAACTTGCAGACACGGTTCTCATGAAACCAAATTCATATTTTAGCATATAGTAGATGTTTGTCTGAGCAATAACGGAAAAGAACCGCCTCTTCGTCAAGCAGCTCTTTACCACATTACCAGCTAACGTTAATTTCGTGATACAAAAGTAAGAGAGTAACCGAAAGATCTGACCATTCAACGTTTTCTCACAAAATTGCAGAAATTACAACTTTATAAGACCATTATCAGTGGTTATTGATTCTCATGGCTCAACTTCCCACCTGGGACTTGAGCTCAAAATATTACCAAAAGAAAAGTTCAATTGCGTTATACTAGTATCAAGGTTAGGAATCAATTCAAGCATGTTGACCTACTTCCTCAAATAATGTTGAACTAATGAATGGGATCCATACCTTCCACATCGATCAAATCCCTATGAATAATAGGCCGGAATGGTGGGGGAGGATGCCCTAACAAGACTCTTAGTCAAGCCTTAGCGAGTCGGGCCTATGAATCATTTCAAAGAAAAGTTCCACAATTCATTTTCCTACCCCACAGGAACAGCGCAATGAAGGTCTGAGAGGAATTTTTTTTTTTTTTTGTGAAGAAGACGTCATATTCATATCAAATTCAATTCATATTATGACATGGGGAAAACTCCATCTCATAAATTGATCTCAACACAATCCAGAAATTAACACAACTTTACACTTTTCATTGAACATATGGATCTCATTTTAACAACATGAAAGTCCCATATACGTTCACAAGTCCGTAATACAACAGTGTCGGTGACCATAGAGCTTTCACTAGACAAGAACAACTTGTAGAACATAAAATCCGTTCGTTTATCAAAGATCGTTAAATTCCTATCAAATTTGAAAATGGAGAGACCACCAGATTCATAGCAAAAGGAATAATGTACGAAAAATCAGAACCAATTTCTGAAATAATAGATTAAATAAACAAATTACCGTAACATCAATCTGTAACTCAGTTACATCTTCATCCGACATTGCGTAAACTGAAATTAATTCAAACCACCGACAAAAATGAATCCATTAAATAGAATCGGAAGAACGACAACCGATTTATGACGAACTACGATCACATTTAACATTCCGCTACGAAAAAACACAATAGAATAGCATACCTGAAGTGCACGCAAGCAAGAGGAAAATTAGAGAAGCCTTCATTATGCACCTGGAATTTGTTCTGAGAGTGCGATCGTGTTGATCGATTGCTAAAATCCAAATAACAATATCTCGCAAACAGACATAAGAAGCAGATTAACAAGTAAACAAAATAATTTTCTTTACCTGATCCAAAAAAATAGGCTGGTTCGTCGCAAATCTAGAAAGACGCGTCAGAAGAAGCGGTGATCGGGCTACATTTCAGACATTTTCGTTATCTCAACCGATCATATTGAAGATCTTTCACCATATCAGAAATTGTATAAATCTTTGTTTATTGATTTTAAGCTATCAATCACTATTCACTCTTGTTATTGTTATTAACTATTACAAATTTAAAATAAAAATTAAAGGCGTTCCAATAATACATAAACATTATAATAAACAAATACACTATTTGTGTAACGACCCAAGCCCACCACTGTTAGCAAATATTATCCTATCTGGATTTTATTCTTTGTTTCGGGCTTTCTCTCCTTTAAAAGGGGTGGAAAGAGGTTTCCACACCTTTATAAGAAATGTTTCGTTCCCCTCTTTCAACCGATGTGGGATCTCACAATTCATCTCTTTAGGCCCAACATCATCGTTAGCACACTGCCCAAAGTCGGACTTTGATACCATTTATCCATTTTAGCTCGTTACATGTCGACGTCAATCACATAATTTTAAATCTATCCCTAACAAACATGTTTAAAAACTTTGAGGGGAAATTCACCTGAAAAAACCTTTGTTTAAAATAAAGTTTGAATCCACCCATGAGGTTTCCACACCTTTATAAGAAATGCTTCATTTTCCTCGTTCAACCGACGTGAGATCTCACAGTTCACCTTCTTGGAGCCAGCGTCCTCGCTAGCACACTGCTCATGCTCAGAGTCTGACTTTGATACCATTTATCTGTTTTAACTCGTTACCGTCAGTCTCATAATTTTAAATTTAACTACGAGGGTAAGAATTGGACCGCGGATCTGAACTTGTACTCGCACATGTCGGATTAAAACTAATTAAATTCATCTTATGTTTTAACTCCGATCATATCGGGGTGGCCGCGTTGAATGATTAATATATATATATATATATATACATATATATTTTTTAATGGAGGAGGATTCTTCAACGTTGAATATATTTTAACATTCTTTTTTTGTGTTAATTGATAAAAAAATTTCCATGTTTTTCGATTTCATCAGTTTCAAGGTGGTTGTAGTCCAACCCATTTTAGAGAGATGTCTAAAATTAGTCAAAAACCTGTAGCAGAAACAGAGCGATTCAAACCGCTTTCATCAATCGTCCTCGATCCATAAATATTTCGTATCGATTCGTCTTCCACATTCCTTGATTCTTCGTTGTCGAATCAATTTTCCCCAATTTCGTTCTGGTTCATTATCGATTAATTTCGTCTTGTAAGAAATTCACGGCCCAACTTTTGGTTTTTTGATATACGCTCCGTTGAATCTTGAAATCGACTGGAAATTGAGGTAACCAAATCGTTTATGCTATCAAGGTTTCTTTGCGGATCATCATCGGGAATGAATCTCGATTTTGATGTTTCTATCTCTGTCTGCATTCGCGATTGGGCAATTGACTTGGTCTTTGGCATGTTTGAGAGGATTGACCGGACATTCAAATGTTTTGAGTTAGCTCATTATCAGCTTTTTTTTCCTTTTCATTTGAATGCTTTTGTGACGAGATGGGATTCGAGTAGGTCGATTTATAGGACTCTACATTCGTTTGGAACTAGGGACATTGGTTTATGTTGGTTAATTAAAATGTTGTTTTACTCTGTGAAATGTTATGGGCTAGATCATGTCACATGTAACTGGATGATCATCCTATTGCTTTCAAAGTATGGGGTTGCGTGTGCAGATTTTTTGGTATTTCTATTGTTCAAAATGTTGAGATTTTATGAAACGATTGAGTCGTTTTGGATTCATCATTTCAGAATAAATGCTGTGTGAGAACATGTTTATTTGGTATCAACTTGAACATATGCTATTAGTTAAGGCGTTGTAAGTTCAATAAAAAGGTCAAAAGATCAAATCTCCACGTCTACTTGTTATTGAATTAAACAGAAAACATGTATAGTTGGTTGGAAGGAGACATGGGAACTTTCTTGGACTTAGATAGCAAGAGAAGGTCTCCTTCGTTGAGTTTCTCATGTTTTTTGGGTATTCTTTGTGTTATTTTCTTGTTAATAACTTGGTTTTTTTAGTTGGCCTCTCTTTGCATGGTTTTTTCTTCTTCTTAATGTTGAAATTATTCTAACAGAGTTACTAACTTGGATGGCTGAGACAGGCTAATTGATTTGCATGCTCTGTTGCTTCAAGCTAACTGGGATTCTTATGACGAATACTGCAACCGCAACTGAGCTGGATGCATTTTATCCAGTTAGAGCTGAATGTGTAGCAGATATTCCGAAGACCCGATTTAAAATTAAGGTATGAAAATATTTAAAAGCTTTTCATCACTCAAGGTAGGAAATGAGAAGAAAACTTTTCTTTTTGAATGATATTGTGCTGGAAGTTGGGTATGCTGGTATCTTTTCCCAGTAAACTCATTCATTAGAGAAAAAAAAGGAAAGAAAAGAGAAGAGAGCTTGTTTTTATTTTTAGTTGAGTCACTCATAATTCTTGCTGGTTTGCACTCCTAGAATTTGATCCTCCTCCTGTGAAGACATCAGCTACTTCAAGTCTATTATAATATGCACACGACTGTTTTTATTTTCTTATGACTGCAGCCGGGGAAAACTCTTAGTGCAAGAAGGTGGGATGCAGCATTTTCGAAAGATGGCCATTTGGATATAGCCAAAGTGCTTAGACGAATTCACCGTGGGGTAATGCATACATTTATTTGATAATAAAAATTATATATCTTAACCTTGTTTGCATCATTCTACATTTAAAATCTTATAAATTAATTCAACGATTTGTACAAGTTTCCTTAAGTTCTATGAGTTTCTCAAAATTTCTATTGACATCAACATTTTCGTAACATTTGAATTTTGTCATTTCCATTGACAATTACATTTTAAGCTTTGGGTAGGAGTTGATATTTTTTCCCCTACCATAATTAGTACCCCTGTACTTTACAACTTGAATTTGCCATTAAACCTACTTTTTTATGGATCAAATTATTGAACAAGCTGAACTGTACTTCTATAACTAATTAATGTTTGCAGTTGTCACATTTTTCAGTGTTTCCTTGAAAATAAGGCTTCACTGTTCATTGTAATAGATTTAACATTGCCGAAATCTCCTGTTTTAAGTGCTTGATTTTAGTTTAGATCATGGCAATATTCTTAGTCTTAGCACACAGTTATTTGATTTAATATGTCAAAATGTACCAAAAGAGCTTGTACGACTATTTTTACCACTAATTATGTTTTTTGTTCTAATAGGGAGTTCACCCTTCTATCAAGGGTGCAGTTTGGGAATTTTTGTTGGGTTGTTATGATCCTAACAGCACATTTGAAGAGAGGAATGGAATCAGACAGCAACGTAGGTAAATTTCTTTTCTTGTTTATGTTTGGCTTGCACAAATAGGATCTAGAAACTTAGGTAGCCTTCCAATTATCTTGGTAACCTTTGAGTTTAGTTCTCTTCTCTTACTCATGGGATTAATGAAGTCTACTTTATTTGAATTTCATTTGATGTTGGTATACTTTTACTCGGTTCTTGAAAAATTAATCTTTTCTTTTTTAGGAAACAAGGCTTCTCATTAATTTGATGAAAATAACTTAAAAGGTTAAAAACCTCAATTAAGGTAGATTAAAATATTCTCTCCAAATATGTTAATAGAATTTGATACATCAATTTTTAATTTTTAATTTTTTTTTTTTTTTTTTTTTTTTTTTTTTTTTTTTTTTTTTTTTTTTTTTTTTACATATTGAAAGAGAGTTTTACAAATTTTTTAATTTTTATAATTGTAAAATCGAGAGTTTCAAAAGATTATAGACCAAATCAGGAATTACTTGAAAGATTAATAACTATTTGGCATATTTAGCCTTTTTTCTATCACTAAGCCAAAAGCTCCAAATTGATTAACAATAGCATTCCCTATTATGCAGTAGTCAATCTGCTGAATCACGGGCAGGGAGTCTTCCGCTATTTACCCAATTAGTTTTATTTCTCAATATCAGTCCTTTCAACCTTAGTTCCCTTAGGAACTAACAGTGGCTTGCCTTTAAGTTTAATTATCCCATAGTAAAATATAGTCGAAGACATCAAGAGTTAACGAAAGAATACGTGAAACCTCATGCCCTCTTTTAAGAATATTCTTGTCCTCATGTTCAAATAGTCAGCTAAAATTCATCAGGCGGATGATACTCAATCATGTTGGATCCCTTAGAATTGTTCAGATATTCTGTTGGTTCATTGTTTTGCAGGGACTATCAGATCTTCATCCGTTAGTTCCTTAGATTTAGAACTGAGAGTTAGTGCTTGTTACAAACACATGCATGTGTTTTTATTTTTAATATATATATTTACTCTAATATTAGCATACAACAATTTTTGTCCACATAGCCTTTTCTTTTATCCAAATAAATCGATGTTTCTCTTCTTGAATTAATTTCTTGTTTTTCAGATTCGTTGAATCAAATAGCTGCAATAAATTTTTGTCTGGTGTGTTTATTTCTAGCATTTGAATTTAGTAATTAAAAACAATAAATTTTTTAAAACAAGATTTTCATGTTTTAAATGTTAGCATATTCTAAATTTGCTACCAAGTGCATATTCAAATACAGCTATCATATTAACTATACTCTATTTTTCAGTAAATCCCTTTCTTTTCAACCTCTTGTTTTTAGATCACCGACCCATGCACTCTCATGATCTTAGAAGCAGGATCACTTTTTTTAATAGAAAATATTGACTTTATTAAGGGAGCAATATGGCGTCTGGAAAGATGAATGTCAAAAGATGGTTCCAATGATTGGTTCTGGAAAGTTTGTTACAACAGCTATTATCACTGCGGATGGACAACCGGTAGAGGAGAAAACAAGCACAAATTTACAAGAAATAGATACCGTGGGCACATCGGATGATTCTCTGGGCGGAAACAATTCTACTTTAGACAAGAAAGTTATTGAATGGAAGCTAACTTTACATCAGATAGGTATGTGTTTGATTAACCGTCATATATGTCAATTTAATAAATAAGGCAGTTGGATTTGTGTATATTCATTCTTCTCTTTTTTGCATTATTTGTACTGGGTCTTTGGTTCTCTCAGAATAGAAATTGAGAAATATATTTTTTCTTTTAAGTGACAATTTCATTGATGATTGAAATTTACATAAAGGATGTAATATCCATGATGTTTGCAAAAGACCTTTCCAATTTACAATGAGTGAGGTATGACTACCGGAAGTAAAAATATTAGACAGTTTACGCCAAGATATAGCTTGGTAAATAACATGTTCGAAGAGTTTTGCATAAGTCCGTGTCTTTTTTGCGAATATTCTTTGATTTCTTTGATGGCAAAATGGAGAAATTTTGATACTTGACAATAATTAGAAGGTATTGAGGACAAGCTAGGAAACATGAGTGTCCGTTTATATATATATATATACACACACACGTATATAGTATTTTAAGTTGAGACATATGACGGACACATGAAAAAAATGAAAAGTAAAAGAAAAACTCATTTTATGTGCTACAAGGGCAGCCCATTCAGAAGGAAAATGGTTAATATGAGGTGCCCATTTATACATTGCAATGGCTGAACCTAAACAACGAAAAGAGAGGTTGCTGTAAATCCATAAAAAAAGTCATTTTACTTAATTTTTTACGTTTTTACTGGCGTATATTTTCTTTAATGTTAAATGACATGTTTCATCTATTTTGAAATGTTAAGTACATCTAGACATACACATAGATGAAACATGTAAATTTAACACCACGATTTAGTGCTGTTTCATCCATGTGTATGTGCTCACCTCAACAACACGACCTAGTGGGATCAAGACAAGCAATTAGTTTGGTACTTTATGTGGAATGTAAATTGTAATAACTTGTTGTTTGTGTAACAGAGAATATTTGCGGGCTAGTAATTTGCATTTCAAAGGAAAAATGGATAATTGTCTGAGCATTCTAGTGTTTTTTCCTTTGGTCATCTATACCTCATGTTTTTCACTAGTTGTGCTTATCTTGAGCTATAGAATTTGGCTGCAGGTTTGGATGTAGTTCGCACAGATCGAGCTCTTGTATACTATGAGAGTGAAGCTAATCAAGCAAAACTTTGGGATATCCTTTCTGTTTATGCTTGGATTGATGGTGAAGTTGGTTACATGCAAGGCAAGTCCCCCCCCACCCCATTTGTTTTTGAAAAAAAAAGAAAATATATATATATATATAAATTAAAAATTGTGCATAGTTCATAATACAAAGAAAGAAATGTTCAAGTCCACTCATTAGAGTTCGTACGATGTACATATTCCAACTTGAAGTCTGATAGATTCTATTTGTTGGCAGGGATGAATGATATTTGCTCGCCAATTATAATTCTACTCGAAAATGAAGCCGATGCTTTTTGGTGTTTTGATCATGCAATGCGCAGACTGGTATGCACTATCTTATCTTCTTACTTTCCTTTTATGGTGATAAGAATATGTTAAATTTGGTGAAAAAAAAATATGGTTAGGTGACAAATTTTGTTTCTATATCTTGGACATAGCTTCAATTTTTTCTTATAGTTTTAACCATTTCAATTAGTTTAATTTGGTTTGGTTTTAGAAGTCTTACTTTGGTTCTTATAGTTTAGATAAATCTCATAAATCTTTCCCATCATTACCATATTGACCTTTTTTTATGTGGCCATGATTTGATTTTTTTTTTAGTTTTTGTGTAATAGATGACTGTATAGGAGTTTAGTGTTGAATGAAAAAATGGAAGGATATAAGTGGTTTTCAAGTGGATAAAGACAGTTTATGAACAATTTGTGAGGTTTAGCTAAACCATAGGGACCAAATTGAAATTAGACTAAATTGAACTTCATGGTACAAATATTACCAAGATGCTCGGCAGCATATTCCAAGTCATAGCGACTATGTTGTAGATTCATTTTGAGCATAATTCTTTGGTGTGTTGTGCAAGCTTTATTGCATTAAACTAACGAAGTTAATGGCAAAGGCTTAATAGACACAAAATCAAAAGTTTATAGTTAAGGCCGCGAGTTTTTCTTTTGAAATACAAAGATTAAATATAACTTCGCGAGTATAGTGGCTAAAGTTCATCATTAAGTCAAAATTATTAGAGGGGGAGAAAAACATTTGTTTCTAACAGAAACGAACTGCTCAATGTTACAAATTGTATATTCTACTTTTTTTCCAGTTCATAGTTCTCACACTCTATTCTCTTCCCCCTCCCTAATTGCAGAGAGAAAACTTTAGGTGCAGTACTGGTACCATAGGAGTGCAATCTCAGCTCAGTACGTTATCACAAGTAATTAAAATTGTTGATCCTAAGCTTCATCAACATCTCGGTATGGATTTTTCTTTTTAAAATCATTTTCTAACAGTAGGATCCAGAAACTGCATTTTGCTTTTGTCATTTTCGTTTCTTGTTTTAATTTTTTTTTTTCAATTTTATATGCAACTCCAAATGTCCGATTGGTATTTAACTATTTGAAATTTCTATCTTTATAACATGGCCATGACAATTCTCCAAACCGAGACAATGTATACTGAGTTTCTTTAGAATGTACAATTCAATGGTTCTCATGGTTTTGTACCTTCTCATTTTGTGGAAGACGCTTGATTTTTTTTTTTTTTTTTTTTTTTTTTGAACTTTTATTTTTAGAAGATTTGATTCTGCTCAATTTATTTAGTTCAAAAAGTGGATTTCAGAGTTGAAATAAAATACATATTTATAATTCTCATAAAATATCAAATATTTATTTCTCGTTCATTATATTGACTTCTTTTCCTTACTACTCTCTCCCTATTCTCTCATGTTTCATGGTTCCTTTTTGGTTCGATTTTCGAGATTATGTTTCAGAAGATTCCTTTCATGTTTGCAGAGGAGTTAGATGGTGGAGAATACTTGTTTGCATTTCGGATGTTGATGGTGCTTTTTCGCAGAGAGTTCTCCTTTGTGGACAGTTTATATCTTTGGGAGGTAAAGAGTAACTATTTGATGAGCTTGATAGAAAAAGTGGTTTGGATTTCTTGGTGTCTCTTGAATATTCATGAGTGTTGAAGTTAGCTAATAGTGTGTTTGAACTCATTTTCCAATTACCACTTCAATGTCTACTAAGCCAACCATAGTGGTGAACCTTTCCCAATCTAGATTGATTAAACACATAATGGAAGTTGAAAGAATTTAAACAAAAAACACCAAATGAGCGATGTAGTTTTTCTTAATCCAAAGCTTGTTCCTATACTCTTGATTCATTGTTGTGTATGATTAGAGTTCAGGGGACCTAATGAACATTTTAAACCATATGGATATGTACTGAAGTGTAAAAACACCAGTGGCATATATTTAGCTAGATTTTTATATAATGTAGCATGGTATGCATGAATTAAAATTTGTTTAACTGATACAGTAATATAGACTGGTTTCAGATGATGTGGGCCATGGAATACAATCCAAACTTGTTCTTAACGTACGAATCGGGGTCTGATTCGAAGGGAGGAGGGGGAACCGGTGGGAACGACAAACATCTAAAACAATATGGGAAATTTGAGAGGAAAAATGTGAAGATGGGACCCAATGATCAGCAACTTCCGCTTCCAGTTTTTCTAGTTGCAAGTGTCCTTGAGGCCAAGAATAAGCGAATTCTCAAGGAAGCCAAAGGTTTGGATGATGTTGTAAACGTAAGACATACCTTCTCCTCTTCTTCTTTGTTTTTTCCTCTTATTATCTTACCATTCATTGGATTATACCTCTCAATAGGATTCGAACCCAACCCATATGAAATCATGACTGATGTGGATATTCCTTTTAATGTTGATCCATGATTTTGGCTCTAGATCTTGGGTGATGTAACTGGAAATCTGGATGCCAAAAAAGCATGTAATGAGGCGTTGAAACTACATAAAAAGTACTTGAGCAAGGTATGAACATATGGGGACTTTCAGTTGAGTTAGCAGCTAAGAAATTATTAGTGTCCTTGTCTCTTAAAGGCCTATTTTACTTGCAGATCAAGAACTAGCAAATGGCTGGTAGGCTCAAGATGGGACAAAGAAAGCCAGAGGATTGCTACTTCAGCAATGGCTCCTGTGATTCCATCAATTCCCATTCTGTTTCCATTTATCCATCATTCCATGGAAATGATGGAACGAAGAAAATTCCAAGTTTGGTTTGTGTATATATTTCAGATGTTTGTGTATTATTGTGGCTTTTGGCCTTTTGGATATTCATATCTCTCTCAACTCATCTTTGGATTCCACTATTTTTTCAATTACTTCATTACAGTTATGCTGTTTTTTTGGGTCAAGAAACAAGATATGTTTTAGGGGTCGAAGAATTTTGAGGCACCCTTTGTTATTTTCGAGGGTATCTGAGATTTAAGGGATGAATAAGTAGGGAGTTTATTCCAAATTATGTGTAAAGTAAATTCGGGTTGTAATAGCTAAGCCTACTGTTAGTCGATATTGTCATTTTTGGGTTTCTCCTTAAGGTTTTAAAACGTGTTTGCCAAGGACTTGTTTCCATACCCTCATAAAGAATGGTTTGTTCTTCTCTTCAATCGATGTAAGATCTCACAATCTACCCCTTTTGGGGTCAACCTTCTCGTTGGCACACTACCCCATGTCTGGCTCTGTGACCATTTATAATAGCTTAAATCTACTATTGGTAAATGTTGTCATTGGCTATTTCTCAAGATGTAAAACGTGTTTGCTAGGGAGAACGTGTTTGCTAGGGAGAGGTTTTTACACTCTTATAAAGAGTGTTTCATTTTCCTTTCGAACTTATACTTGATCTTAAACTTGGAAAAGACTTTATTAGTATAATTGGCTATTCTTGGCCAATTATATAGAGATACCCGAGGATGTGTAGCTGTGTAGCTGACTCTTCTCGTTCTTCATTGGTTACAAGAATCGTATAGACTCTTATTTGCACTCAAAGTTGGCTCGATTTTGCCTCATGGATCTTGAATTCTATATCTTGTTAGTTCTATTGTGATCTAATTTGATAAAATTAAAAAAATTTAACTTGTTATAACAAGTTTGGGGTATAGAAAGAATTATAAATTTATACGATTTTATTATTAAAATTTTAAAATTTTCAATTTTATCCTTTAATTTTCAAAATTTTATTAATACCTTTAATTTTTTTAAAAGAAAAATCATAACTTTTTTAGGGAAAAAAAGTAATAATAATAAGAGAAGTCAGAAGTGGGGAATATTGATTTGACTGGAGTGAAAATAATGTAGTGTGTGGGGCCGTCCTTCGTAAGTACTCTGCACCATCGTCTTCTTCATCTTCTTCTTCTTCTTTCTTCTTATTTCTGTCCTCCCCATTTTCAATGGCTTGGGATTTGGAATGGAACTCCAACAACCCATATCTTTTGGGGCCACTTCCATGTGATTTCTCTGATACTTTTCTGTCTTTCATTCATGAGGGGACGTCTCTTCTTCTTCTCTCTCTCGAAAAAAAAAAAACCTTTTCGACCCTCTCATTCGTTAAGATATCGAAATTTCCAAAAACTAGATGAAACTCACTCATTTTCATATTAAACTTAGAGTTTTAGTTCAAGAAGTTTTAGACTTTAGCTTATCATTGAATTATAAATATACAAATTGATCACAAAGATTGAAAGATCTACTTGGAGTTGATAATATCTAAATTAATCGAACTTATTTGGAATAATATGAACTATTATTTATAAAATTTTATCAAGATGTTTGAAATAAAATTCTTATTTTTTGAAATGCTTTATTATCTACCTGTCTCTATTGGTTTGAAACTATTCTCATTTTCAGTTAATTCTTTTAAATATTTCTTTATTATATGTGATATTTCATATTGGAGTACTAATCGAGAATTTTTTTTTAAGGAAAATCTAATTCAAACAAACAGCTTAGAGATCCTTACAAACTTTCGATTTAAACAATTATCAATAAAACAAACGAAAAATGTTACAACAAAACCGACCGAAAATTTATGTAACACAAACAAAATAGACTCAAGGAAGGTAGGACTCAAATCTACCTCTCAAATTGTCTTGGAAAGAACAAAAAACTAAGAAAATTGGTACAAAAATTTAGGGAGATTAAAATGAAATTACCTATGACATACACATCTATAGTGGTAAGCACTATTGATCGGGTCGTTGCCTTCAACTGGCACTTGCTCGGCTCTGCACTTGTATTTGCATCCTCTACATTCATTATAAGTACATATCGGTGCTGTTGAACCAATCATCAACCTTCTTGAATTTCTCATCTGAATTTTTTAAAATTTCCATCAAACATAAACACATTATAGCTTCGAGTCTCGAGCATTAATCGATTACTTTAAAAGTACATTCAAGAGATCAGAAACGCGAAACAGAGATCAAGAAACGAGACGCGAATTCCTGAATGGAAAAAATCGAAAAAGATTTATCGTCCGTATAGTACGAACAACTAACCTCGGGCGCGATTGTTGTTTGTACGGAACGGAATTGAGGCAGAGATTTTGCGAAAACGTCGTCCTCTGTTGAGAATCGTCCTGAACGCGAAAAAAGATACGGAGAGAAGATGAATAAAGTAAATCAAGCGACGAAGAACGTAAACCGAGAGAGAGAAACCTTTTAGCGCCATTGTTGAGCAGAGAGAGCAGAGAATTAGGGCTAGAAGGAGGAGAAGAAGAAGTGGTTTCGCAGCTTTTGCCATTGAAAAAGAGAGGATAAGAAACCAATTGCTGCAATTGTAGAATGAGAGAATGGAACTCAAAAAGTATTAATACTTGTGATAAAATGGGAACTCTTACAAAATAAATATAAATAAATAAAAATTTGCAAAATTTAAGCAGTGAAATGACAGTTTGGTCCCCCCATCCTCTCTGCACCCATATACCTTATTTGTCCCCACTTTATGGAATGTTTTAAGGAAATTACATATATACCCCTCTTTTTGTTTTTTTTTTTTTCACATTATTTTTGACTCCTTTTAAAATTTTGAATTGGAGTAAACATCGACCCGAGTCTAGCTCACTTTTAAAATATAAGTTTGAGTATTTTTATGTCGAGAGAACGGTTGTGTGTGATTAGAGTTCAAAGACTAAAATCGACCCGAGTCTGCACCCATATACCTTATTTGTCCCCACTTTATGGAATGTTTTAAGGAAATTACATATATACCCTTCTTTTTGTTTTTTTTTTCACATTATTTTTGGCTCCTTTTAAAATTTTGAATTGGAGTAAACATCGACCCGAGTCTAGCTCACTTTTAAAATATAAGTTTGAGTATTTTTATGTCGAGAGAACGGTTGTGTGTGATTAGAGTTCAAAGACTAAAATCGACCCGAGTCTGCACCCATATACCTTATTTGTCCCCACTTTATGGAATGTTTTAAGGAAATTACATATATACCCTTCTTTTTGTTTTTTTTTTCACATTATTTTTGGCTCCTTTTAAAATTTTGAATTGGAGTAAACATCGACCCGAGTCTAGCTCACTTTTAAAATATAAGTTTGAGTATTTTTATGTCGAGAGAACGGTTGTGTGTGATTAGAGTTCAAAGACTAAAATCGACCCGAGTCTGCACCCATATACCTTATTTGTCCCCACTTTATGGAATGTTTTAAGGAAATTACATATATACCCTTCTTTTTGTTTTTTTTTTCACATTATTTTTGGCTCCTTTTAAAATTTTGAATTGGAGTAAACATCGACCCGAGTCTAGCTCATTTTTAAAATATAAGTTTGAGTATTTTTATGTCGAGAGAACGGTTGTGTATGATTAGAGTTCAAAGACTAAAATCGACTCGAGTCTGCACCCATATACCTTATTTGTCCCCACTTTATGGAATGTTTTAAGGAAATTACATATATACCCCTCCTTTTGTTTTTTTTTTTTCAAATTGTTTTTGGCTCCTTTTAAAATTTTGAATTGGAGTAAACATCGACCCGAGTCTAGCTCACCTTTAAAATATAAGTTTAAGTATTTTTATGTCGAGAAAACGGTTGCGTATGATTAGAGTTCAAAGACTAAAATAGAATTAACGTAAAGTTTAGGAACTATAATAAATATTTTAAAAATTTAGGAAATAAAACGAAATAATTCTTTTTTATAAAAAAATTTATGCTTTTTAATTTTTAATGTTATACGTGGAATTATATCATTTAAATTCTTTTTTTATTTTTTTTCATAACTATCGAGATTTACAAGTTTAGTAGTTGAATCTAAACATAATTACCAATATACCCTTATAAATTTGCATAATATATATATATAAAGCCATTATAAAAACGGAAGAAATCTAAATAACGTCAAAACTACTCATATTTAATTTCTTTTTAAAATAGGATTTATATTACTTTTTTGAGGTTATATTATTAAATTCTTTTTTTTAAAATAATTATCCAGTTTTACCTATTTGAGTATTACCTTTTTGTCCTTGCATCTAAGCACAATTACCAATATACCCTTATTAATTTGTATGTATATATAAAAAAAAACAATTATAAAAACGGATGAAATCTGAATTTTAAATATAATGTCAAAACTACTCATATTTAATTTCTTTTAAAATGGGTTTATATTACTTTTTGGAGGTTATATATGGAATTGTATTATGTAAATTCCCTTTTTTTTCATAACCATCCAATTTTACCTTTTTGTCCTTGCATCTAAGCATAATTACCAATATACCCTTATTAATTTGCATGCATATATTAAAAAACCGGATGAAATCTGAATTTTAAAAATATGTCAAAATACTCAATATTTTAATTTTTTTTTTTTTTATGGGGGATTTTACGAAATTTTTATATTTAAAAATTAAATATTTTTAAATATATAAAGTAAGATATTTTGTGAAGATATATTATTATATTATTATTATTATTATTGTGATGAAAAGTCTAGATGGGTCTGTGAAGTTCCATAGAGAAGGATCTAGGGACATTCAATTCAAACCTTAGAAATTGGTAGACAATTCATTGAATTGCTACAAACAAGGACAATTTTCTCCCATTTATATGCCTTCATGTGCATCCTCTCTTTATTACTTCAATCAATCATTCACTACCTTTTTCAATTTGTACGACCCACTACACACTTTTAGGTCGTTTTATAGGTCTTAGTGGACAAACACGGTTTCGTAAGGATCTATACCCAGAACTTGAATCAGGGTTTGACAGATGATGGCCCCAACATTCTCTTGCGACATGGTTATGTTACTTACTTCTCGTTTCTAAAGTGGTGAGAGAGTGTGAGAGATGCAGTGACTGATGAGCTCGTTGGGATGCTAAAGTGTGTGTTGAGTTAATTATATGCTAAACTGTAAATAGTACGAGATCCCACCTCGGTTGAGTGGTGGAATGAAACATTATTTGTAAGGGAATAGAAACATTTCCCTAATAGATGCATTTTAGAGGTTGATAATGATACGTAACGAACAAGATTTTTAAAAATATAAAATTTCAAGGAAAAGAAATCCCTCGAGGCGATGCCAAAAAAGGAGCGACATGTCGTGATGATAGGGAAAATGGGGTTAAAAATGTAGGACAGAGGCTCCTCCACTTATGGACACAACCCCTTCCCGTGTAGGGTACCCTACGCAGATTCCGTTAGGCCTTCTTTTTCCCGTTTTGTCGTTGTTGGTTATACTTTATTCACAATTTAAATATTATTGTCTTTTTTCTTTTTTCTTTTTTTTTTTAAGAAAAAAATGAAAATTTATAATAAAATATTTGGTAATAAATAAATAAATTAAAAAAATAATAAGATATGAATTTGAGTTTATGTGGGCTTGGGCTTGTTTTGGTTTTGAGCCCAATCATTTTTATGTCAAATTGGGCTTATTGGACTTTGAATATAAAGTATATTTAAAAGTATAAATAAAAAAAAAATAAAAAAAAATATATATATATATATATTTTGAAAAGGTCGCTTTCACGCAAGGTTTCACTTTCCAACCGCGGGAAACGATCTGCAAAGCTATGAAATGAACAAATCTCCAAGAAACTCTCAAACTCGGAAGGATTCCAATTCAAACTCTGTAAATCTCTCTCAGTTCATCCCACTAAACAGCCGAAATCATTCCTTTGAAACAATCCCTTTCCCTCCATTAACATTCTCTCTCGATTTTCCCATCTTCTTCCCCAAGAAAAGCATCTCAAATTTGTTCTATATCTCTCCATCCATGGCTCATCTTCTTCACCCATCAATTCACCGTTTCTGTTATCTTTCTTCGTCCCACACTCTTCAATGGCCGCCGAACACCCTACTGCTTTCACCCCTGTCACCTTCTCCAAGTACTCGAAGCGGGTTCTTCTCAAAACTGTGCTGGACTGCAGCGATGGTGGTTTGGGGTTTGTGGATCAGAAATTGGTGATCGGAGGCTGGGTGAAGTCCTCCAAGGAGGTTTTCAGAGAGGCGGCGGTGCCGGCTGATGCCAGTGTTAGAACGGCGGGTGATGCGCTGCCGCGTAGGGCTAAGGATGTTAGCTGCATTGAGATTTTACAGTCGCGGATTCCGATCGTTAGGTCTTTGCTTAGGATGCTGTATGGAAATGATTTACACGCCGGTGAGAAGTTGGAGACGCCTGTTCATAAGCCGCCGCCGCCGCTTCCTTCCACTACTTTTCTTGTTGTTAATGATGGCTCTTGTGTTGCAAGCCTTCAGGTAACCTCTAATCTATGCACGCTAACTGTTTGTAAGTTTGTTCTCAAAGTAATAAGAAACTTGCAGGTTGTTGTTGAGTCCTCGTTACATCATCCTGGCCAGCTGATGCCTACGGGAACTTGCATCTTGGTGGAAGGCATATTGAAGCGGGCACCGGCACCTGGGAAACATCTGGTTCGGCTTGAAGTGGAGAAAATCCTTCACGTAGGGAAGGTTGAACAGGAAAAGTACCCACTAACCCAAAAGAAGTTGCCAATGGATCTTTTGAGAAAATTTTCTTATTTTCGTCCTCGAACAACTACGGTAATTCGTACAAGCTTCAACCATACATTGCATTTATGTTCTGTTTTATGGGTCTGTTTGCATGCCTATTATTATACCGCCATTAGTTTTAAGATTGTGCTTAAGCAATAGCAGCATGTGAATTAGAGCAAGAGCCTTAAGATCAGAAAGATGGTGATACAGTTCAATCTCTGGTAAAGGAAAGGATTTGTATAGTAGGGTTGTCTATGAAATTAGTCGAGGTGTACACAAGCTGAACTGAACACTCGCAGATATTAAAAGGGAAAAACAAGAAGATTTATATGTATAGGTTGATGTTCTTGATCATGGCGTTTAATGAACTGAATAGATCGATGCAAAGGGCTCTGGGGCTGAAGTTTGAGAAGAGAGTTTTTCATATTTTAACCATTGAAGCCAATGAAGTGTTGGATCTTGATCTTCATCGATATTCATTACTTTATGCAGGTAGCATCTGTTATGAGAATCCATAATGCCTTGACTTTTGCAACTCACACATTCTTCCAAAATCATGGCTTTCTTTATGTGCAATTACCGACCATCACGACCACAGACAGCGAGGGATTCAGTGAAAAGTTCCACGTTACAACCCGTGCTGGCAAATCAGAAGATAAGAAAATAGAACCAACAGAGGACAAAGAAACTGATGGTGTGAGTCTTGAAACTGTTAAGGCTGCTGCAGTAGAGAAAAGAAATATCGTCAAAGAACTAGAGAGAAGTGAAAGCAACAGGGAAGCCTTAGCTGCTGCAGTTCAGGATTTAAAGAAGACAAATGAACTTGCATTACAATTAGAAGCCAGAGGAAAACAAAAATCCCAATTGAAGAAAGATAAAGTTCACATTTCTGAAAATTTCTTCCCACAAGAAACTTATCTCACGGTGTCTGGACAACTCCATTTGGAGACCTATGCGTGTGCCCTTGGAAATGTTTACTCATGCGGACCGAGGTTTCGGGCAGATAGAATCGTGTCGGCAAAACATGCTGCTGAAATGTGGATGGTGGAGGTCGAAATTGCTTTTGCTGAACTCGAGGTATGTATCTGTGATCTTATACTTATTCCTTTAGATTGCTTAGTATTTGACATATAAATTAATGTTGATTTAGCCATTAAAACCTTTATTTTCTGTGATCGGTAGTTGTTTCTAATATCATTGCACCATTGAAATGAAGAATTTCCATCTTTTAACTTGCATTTTGTATCATCGTTTGGGGAGTCCAGGATGTCATCAACTGTGCTGATGACCTTGTTAAGTTCCTCTCCAAATGGGTGTTGGAGCACTGTCTGGATGATATGAAATTCGTGCAAAAACGAATCGACAAAACGAGTGTTCATCGCCTTGAATCAACCATCACAAGTTCATTTGAGAAGGTCTCTTACACTGCTGCAGTAGAAATTCTGGATAAGGTGAATCTTCTAACAGATGCCTCGGTTTTTCGTTTCCACCCGTTTATCTGAATATTGAAAAACAAAATTCTTCACTGTCAGGCAACCGATCAAAAATCTCAACGCTTGAAAAGGCTTAAATTTGGTGCTGCTTTAACTGATGATCATCTCAGGTGTGAAAATGCTATAGTACAACACAAGCAAATTGATATTTTTTCATTTATCAAAAGTAATTTATTTTGTTTACATGAAACAGTTATCTTGCTGATGCCATCTTTAAGAAGCCTGTGATAGTATATAACTACCCAAAAGAAACCAAGCCATTTAATGTGCGTCTGAATGATGATGGGAAAACAGTGGCAGCATTTGATGTAGTTCTTCCAAAGGTTAGCACCTTAGTTTTCGGATAGATTCTGATTCAATGAAAAATTATTTCTTAAACTCGGACCCGACTGTTGTAGGGTGGAGTAGTAATTTCTGGCAGCCAAAAGGAGGAGCGTTTCGATGTATTGTTGTCAAGGTATAAATTATTCAACCGAAACTTAGACACTTTCACATCTTTTATTTATTTACTAGATCCATAGACATCTACATAGACACGCGTTTATATCCACGTGTAGTAGGTTAGATGTCTAGATTTAGGTTAACCATTATGGGTCGGCTCGTGGTCAATAAAGACCATGAGAATAATAAAAGGTCTAAAGAGAATAAGTTGATCATAGCGACTACCCACTAACCAAATGCAGTAGAATCATGTAGCTACCTCGTGAGATTAGTCGAAGTCTGTGCAAGTTGACACATATATATCGTAATAACGAATTATAAATTTAGGCCATCGACATTATCCACGCATGTCTAAAGTAGTTTTTGATGCAAATTTTACCCGAAAAAAAGAGAACATCTTAAAGTTAGAAGAATCAAAGTAAAAAAAGTCTAATTATGAGCTGTTCTAGTGTGTGTCACTAGGCATGTGAAAAAAGTAAATATGCTTTTAAGAAATGGGTTGAAACTCCATGATAACTGTCCTAGAAAGTTATTGGTTTGTTGTAATATGGATGTTGACACAGGATGAAGGAGATGGGGCTGCCAAGAGAGCAGTACGAGTGGTACTTGGAGATTCAAAGGCATGGAACAGTGAAGCACTCTGGTTTTAGTTTGGCATTTGATCGTTTCGTTCTGTTTACTACTGGCCTTACTGATATCAAAGATGTTATTCCATTTCCAAGGAGTCTTGGAAAGGTCAGCCATTAATCCGAGTTCAGTGCCAAATTTCTAGATCAATGGAACTCAAAACGACTTGTGTTTGTTTCTCCCTAAGATTTGTTCTTGTAAATAACAGAGAATTTGGAATAAAATGAGATATCTTTATGAAAAAGACTCGTGCTCTCGAATCGATCTTTAAAAATACAAAAAAACAATATCATTCCTAATTTATAGAAGATTAAAATCGTTCTTACTGACCAACACTGATCAAGAGCTTAGAAGTTTGAAATACATGATGATCGTTGGAGAGAGGTTCTACATCGGCTAATTAAGAGGTTGATCATGAATTTATAAGTAAGAAATACATCTCTATAGTATGAAACCTTTTGGAGAAACCAAGAGCAAAGCTCCAAGAGTTTATGTTCAAAGTGGACACATGCCCTTAACTTACCCATTAAACTAAAAATGTTACCGTTCAAGCTCACCGCTAGCCGATATTGTCCTCTTTGGACTTTCCCTAAAGGTTTTTGGGGTTTTCACACCCTTATAAAAAAGAGGTGGGATCTCAAAATCTACCTCCTTCGAGGCCTAACGTTTTTGCCAGCACTCGTTTCCTTTACTAATAGATGTGAGACCTTCCAAATCGGGGGTCCTAACGTTCTCGCTGTCACTCATTCTCTTCTCCAATCGATGTGAGACCCCTCAAATCCACCTCACTTCGAGGGCTACCGTCCTTTCCGACACACTGCTTCGTATCCACTTCTTCAGAATAGGAACATAACTTAATACTTCATCTAGGATGGAACCAAAAATGAGGAAATAAAAAAAGTATTGTTACCAACAAAAATTTAAACGAGATATTTGGTATAATTTGACTCAGTTTGACTAACGCATTTTTAAGTGAGGCATAAAAGGGAAGAAAGAGAAGGGGGGTAGAGCGAGTGCCTTTAATTGCGCACACATGGATTCCGATTACCAATGTGAATTCATGAGCATGCTATCAAAGCCAGTTGGGACCCAATTCAAGCGCCAAAAAGTTGATTATATTTACGAATTTCCCGATAATCATGGCGTATTTCAGTGCCTCCTGTCATGAGGTTGTAGTTATAGTCATTACTATCCATTTCGGACCGCACAAAAACCTCCATAGCAAGCTTCTTCATCTTCATCTGCATCAATGGCGAGTGACGAGGACCAGGGCGGTGAGGAGTACTTGTACAAGATTGTCCTTATTGGCGACTCTGCTGTGGGCAAATCGAACCTCCTCTCGCGATTTGCTCGGAATGAGTTCGATAACAACTCCAAGGCTACAATCGGCGTCGAGTTTCAGACTCAAGTGGTGGAAATCGACGGCAAAGAGGTGAAGGCTCAGATCTGGGATACTGCTGGCCAGGAGCGATTTAGGGCTGTCACTTCGGCCTACTATCGCGGCGCTTTTGGTGCGCTGATTGTCTACGATATCAGCCGTCGGACAACCTTCGACAGTGTCAAGCGGTGGCTCGACGAACTCGGCGGTACGTTCTCTTTGAATCTTTTTGGTTGCTTTACTGTTCAGTTTGTTTGCAGAAGCTTTATAGAACTGAATCCAATTTTTGCGTCTGTTTACTAGAATCTGTTGCTGGTTTTGTTTATTGATTCTTTGATTTGTGTAGAACTGTAAGTAAGATATGAATAATGGAAAAATCAGGGTTATTGTTCATTCTTCTTTTGTTGGGGGAAAGCTGGATTAGATTGGTGAAAAAGGTTGAATCATGTGTTCTTTTACTTACTAAAGTTGCTTCAGTGAGTAGTTTTTAATGAACTAAAGGATGAGCAGTGTTGAGTTTTGCCAAATTTACATCTAAGAGAATTGTATATTGTTTAGACCCGTGTACTGGTTGAAATCAGATTCAAAAAGAAAAGCTGTGGAGGGACCTTAAATGTTAGCTCATAAGTCATATTTGATAGATGAACACGACTCTCTAGATATGATATTGTCCACTTAGGTGATGTGGGACTTTCATCATCCAACATCTCCCCTCGAACAAAGTACGCCTCTCTTTAATCGAGGCTCGACTTCTTTTTCTTTTGGAGTCTTAGTCATTTTTTACTATGTCTTCGAGGAGGCTCGATTCCTTTTCTTTTGGAGTCCTTTGTTCGACATTTGAGGATTCACCAATCTATTGGCACGAATGAGTTTAGGGCATGACTTTGATACCATGTTAGATGAACACGACTCTCCACCATGGTATGATATTGTCCACTTTGAGCATAAGCTCTCATGGCTTTGCTTTGGGCTTCTCCAAAAGGCCTCACACCAATGGAGAGAGTATTCTTTGATTATATACCCATGATCATTCCCTAAATTAGCGTAGGTGGGACTTTCCTCACAAATTTAGGGCAACTACTTGTCAACCCATTATATTGAAATTTGAACTTCAGTTTGTGGCATTTGAAGGTATTACGGAATAGTTGCTTAGTCGATACAGGCCTATCCTAAGAAGTGACTAGATGTTAGTTACTTATTGTTTTTTTTAGTTCAACCATCACCATACGTTTTGATCTACAATTTATGCCTTACCAAATGAACTTTGCTTTTAGGTTGGTAGGGTTAGTCACCATTGAATCAAGGACCTAATAACTTCTTTTTTCCAAATTTTGAACTGTATGCTTTTCAGGTGATTTATCCTTTCTCATTTGGATATATTTTTTAGTTTCTTTAACAGTCTAAGCCCATTGCTAGCAAATGTTGTATTCTTTGGGTTTTCACACCCTTATAAGGAATGCTTCATTTTCATATGAAAAGTTTCCACACCCTTATAAGGAATGCTTCATTTTCATAGAAGTTTGTACATTTTCTCTTAGCTCCCTTCTCAAAGTTTCAAAGGAAAAGTTTCCACGCCCTTATAAGGAATGCTTCATTTTCATAGGAGAAGTTTCCACACCTTTATAAGGAATGATGCTTCATTTTCATTGGGCATCTTCTCCGAAGTCTGGCTTTGATACCATTTGTAATGGCTAGCCCATTAGCAGATATTGTTTTCTTTGGGCTTTTCCTTCTCGGCTTCCCCTCAAAATTTTTAAATGCATATACTAGGGGGAGAGGTTTCCATGCCCTTATAAGGAATGATTTGTTCTTCTCTCAAACCAAGATGGAATCTCACATGTCCTAAACTAAACTAAAGCTTAATGTTAATAGTGATATTGCTTATACTTGAACATAGTTGTTTCTCTTGCTAGGGTATGGGTTACATTGACATCTTTGTATCTCTAGATAGGTCTATAAAGCAAGCGAGAAACCATCCCTCTGTCAACACGATCTCATACCTTCATTGTGGTTTGCAATTTGTAAGATTATAATAAACTAACGTATCCCTCCCGAAACGATTACAGTTCATTGTGATACCGCGACTGTGAAGATGCTGGTAGGAAACAAGTGTGATTTGGAGAACATCAGAGATGTGAGTGTGGAGGAAGGCAAGAATCTGGCAGAAGAGGAAGGACTGTTCTTCATGGAGACCTCTGCTCTTGATTCCACCAATGTCATAACAGCCTTTGAGCTTGTCATTAAGGAGATTTACAACAATGTCAGCAGGAAAGTCCTTAACTCTGATTCTTATAAGGCTGAGCTTTCTGTAAATCGAGTAAGCTTGGCTGATGGGGCTGCCTCCTCCAAGAAAGGCTTCTCTTGTTGTTCTCAATGAGTTTCAATTTTTTTTTTTTTCGGGTCAAATTTTAAAAAATATTTAATAGGGCCAAGAGTACTGTTGGACGTATTAAAAGTGAGATTTATTAGATATCAAATGGAAAGCGTTTGAAAATTTAGAAATATATTACACATCTTAAAAGATGTTCACGAGCTAAACTTGAAATTTAACGTTTTTTTGAGTGCCATTGTTTTGTGGTGCTTATGAATACTCAAATGTGGGTATGTTTGGCTACAAAAATTTTAAAAGGATTACATGTTAGAAATCACGAACCTCTAATATGATATTATTGTCCGCTTTAACTTTAAGTATAAACTCTCATGAATTTGTTTTTAGTTTCTCCAAAAGGTTTCGTTGACAGAGTGTTCATTCCTTATAAATTCATAATCTTTCTCTCGCTATTTCTCATCAAAATTTTAGTCTTCTAATCTCGACGTGCTAAGGAGAAACTTTGATTATTTATAAAATTTTATAAAAGGTAGTATTTGTTTTATTTTATTTTAACTCTTATTTAAAATTATCTAGACACAAATAAATTATTATAAATATTTGCTTAAATATATAAAATACTGAATAATGAAGAAAAAATAAAATTTAATAGTGATTTGAAAATTATTAATAGTGATACGAAAGAGAATTCCCTTTAAAATCTGATGTTTGTGAGAAAATATCTGCCCTCGGAGTGCGCGCGGCGGAGACTGCAACTTCATGTCCTCTGCCTTGCGCTCAAGGCCGAGTCTGATGCCGACCTGCAGGAGATTCTATGTCGCATGGATCTTTCCGAATGCGTCTACAAGGTATGTGCAATATCTAATCCTCTTGTTTGATGATTTCTATTCTCTTCTATGTCGCATGATTCTATGTCGCATGGTTCTGGTTCTGGTTCATACTGCAAATTCAAACTAATATTCTTGATTGCATTGTGCAAAAATTCTAGCATATGATGCACGAACAATTTATGCATCGTATATTCTTTTTATTATTATTATTTTTTTATGGGATTGGGTATTGGTAACCCTAAGCATCATAATGACGCCTTTTTGGTCAAATGGTTGTGGTGCATCTTCTGGAAACCTAAAGACTTTGTGGCGTAGTCATTGTGAACAAATACGGTCCTCACACTTTTAAGTAGGCTTATGGAATCTTCTAAAAACCCTTGGAAAGCTATCTCTTTAGTTTTTTTTCCTTTCTATTCCTAGTTTTCTAAATGCTCCATCGGGGATGGCTTAGATGCTTATGTTTGGGAAGATTGTTGGGTGCGGAGGAAACTCCTTTTTAGCTCTTTCTGATATGAAGATACTGTTGATGGAAGTTGAAGATGGTTGTGAGAGAGTCTCACATTGGCTAATTAAGAGAATGATCATGTATCTATAAGTAAGAAATATATCTCCATTGTTATGAGACTTTTTGGAAAAACTAAAAACAAAGCTACGAGAGCTTACACTGAAAATGGACAATATCATTCCATGTGGGACAATATCATTCCATCGTGGGGTCTTGGGCCTTCTTCTTTTATTTTGGCGTTTCGCCATCCCCTTATGGATAGGGCCTTCTTCTTCTTATTGCCCTTCTTATTTGTGTGGAGTAGGGATTGCAGGGCTATGATGAAGGAGGTTTTCGTTGATTCCTCCGTATATGGAGAAAGTCACAACTCCTTATACGGTGGATTTGACTCGAAAGGAACTAGAATTTTTAGAGGAGGCTTTCATAGGGGAATGTTGGGAGATTATTAGCTTCACTTGCTTGGTTTGGGCATCGATGGTTAAGACTTTTTTTTTTTTTTTTTTTTAACGGTCCAAGCCCACCGCTAGCATATATTGTTCTCTTTGGGCTTTCTCTTTCGAACTTTCCTTCAAAGTTTTTAAAACCCATCTAATAGGGAGAGATTTCCACATCCTTATAAAGAACGAACCATTCTCCTCCCCAATTGATGTGAGATCTCACAATCCACCCCCTTTTGTGACCTAGAGTCTTTGCAGGCACTTATTTCCTTCTCTAATTGTTGTGGGACCCCCCAATACACCCC